CGTGGATCACACTTTTGCCCTTCTCTGAGAACCTTGTTGATTGATAAGCACAGGTCGTGCTTCAGGTTCCGTGGCTGGTCTTTGCAACCGTCCATACTTGTCCATGGAGCACATGCAAGCTTCCCCACCATTAAATTCGTCCTAGCTCGGACCTCGATTTCAATCGGAAAAATACCCGATCAGCTATAAACCTATTATACGGATATCGATTCAGTCCTAAACTTTTTAATTTTGCCGGTTTAGTCCAAAAACCTTTGCGTGAAATTGCAGTGCAGTACTTCCGATCGATCTTCGTCGGAAATCGCCGACGCGACGGTTCAGTCGTCGCCGGCCGTCCTACTCGGCGCTCCGCCGTGTCAGCAATCCCCACAGGAATTGGCCGGAATGGTCGGATTGGAGCTTCACGCGATGGTTCAGGACTAAATTTTAAAGCTTACAACTATATTAGCATTTGTGCAATAGGTTCGGGACTGATCGGATAATTTTTTCCGTAACGATTTCCCACCGGGTTGTGACAATCCTACGCACGACATATGAGTCCACAAGTATGAACAAAGTAGGTTTATCTGGGACCAAACTTCCGTGGACGATTGCGACATTTTATACGTATGAATTACCGTGTGGACGCGTGAAAAGAAACGTACTTTTAAAATTAGAGTGTCCTCACGCAATAATGGCACCGGATAAAAAGTCGCTATCATTTTCAAAAATATATATTTTTTAAAATAATTAAAAACATTTTCGTAAATGTTATTACTTGTATTGCTTAAAATAATTAATCGATGAAATATGTTTCATTATCGATAATAATTTATGTCTGATCATTTTCGTGGACAATAAAAATATATTTCGTTCATTCATTTTTGTAAGCAATACGGACGATCATTTTTAGAAACCATTCATTTTTCGCGAAGCCGTAGTGTTGTACTTCTGCCTTTGTCAGAAGTCGAATTTGTCTAGCTATAGCCTAAAAATAAATATCTATAAAAGTCTTCTTTTTATCAATACAAACATCATTCATTTTTCACGGAACATAAAGAGCCATAGTGTTGTACTTCTGCCTTTCTAAGATGTCGAATTTGTCTAGCTACAGCATAAAAATAAATATCTATAAAAGTCTTTTTTTTAAGCAATACAAGCGATCATTTTTAAAAAAATATTTTCTAAATCATTCATTTTCAACGAAACAAACGGAACCTTAATGTTGTACTTCTTTCTTTGTAAGATGTCGAATATGTCTAGCTACAACCTAAAAATAATTCCAACAAAAGAAAACCTAAAAATAAATATCTATAATGGTCTTATTAGGTATGGATAGGGACAGGGCCAGATAAAGCACACTATTATACTCGACTCACTTTTAATGAACCACATCTAATAATTTGATGTCATCTTATCATACATTTATATTACAGACTTCAAGACACTAACACTGAAATTTGTTTGACGTAATATTATCTATTAAGTTTGGATTTTCAATTTCATAATAGTAATTGAATAATACGTTTAATTTTTATTATATAAAAAAGGGTGACGAGAGACAACCAATGCATTTACTCTTTTGGGTGTTTCATTGAAGACGTCATACTGCTGCGGAGTATTTAGTTTGAATTATAATTACTCAATAAGTCACCTCGTGATCCGAAGGTCCGAGGTTGCTGAACCAATCACTATATTATCTCCACTAGCATGCTAGAAGTGAGGAGTTCTCACCGCATGAGATAATAGGTGTCCCAAATAGAAACCGACTAAAGATAAGCTCACGACATCACTCGAACTCCTAATCTTGTTCATATCATTATTTCCAAACATGCATAATCGTTGACCGAAAATAATTTTTTTTCTCGAACGATAATTTTTATTTTGTATGTGTATTTTTTGTCCTTAAAAAAAATAGTATTCGGTCTCTTCAAATTAAAATCTCAAAGTATATGACAAGTTGAAAAATTGTGGGTTATTATACACATTCTATGATCTTTAAGAAACAATATAATGTTTATAAAAATTAAAAATTTAATTCCCTTGTAGCTCTTGAGTGGACTGACACATGCACATGGCTAGTACGTACATATATACCCCGACATGGAGAATAATTTCATCTGTACTAGCAATTTCGAGACCATAGTACATGTATAGTTCGTTACCTATCAATATCATCATAGTGCAACCAAGTCGTCTCGAATCCGTTTTCGTGGAAAGAAATTTTACTTCCTTCAAATATCCAATAAAATAACAATGTTCTTTGTTTGGTAAGAAATGCATCAACAATGTTAGATTTTCCTTTCCTTTTTGGCAAATGAAAATGACTGAGAGCATGAAGGCGTCTCTTGACTCCATTTGTTTTGCGAAAAATGAATGATTTGAAAAACATTTTTTTCTGAAATTGTTCGCTTGAAATAATTAGTCAGTGAAAAATATTTTTAGTATCGACAACAATTTATGTCTAAACAATTTCATGAACAATAAAAAGAATTATTGTCCATTCGTTTTTATAAGAGATATAAGCGATGATTTCTACGAAAATATTTTTTAAATCGTATATTTTTTTTCGAGAGATATGTTTGTTTCGCGGAAAATGTACCATTTTTGGGAAATATTTTCCAAGGAAAATGACTTCATTTTCTCATGTTTAGCTAAAACTTGAAAAAGACTTGGAAAATATTTTCCGTCGTTTGGTAAGGAAAATCTGATAGGGAAAATTACCAAGAAAATTCGTATATTTTGATTATTTTTTTTATATATTTTTAAATTTTATTTTTTCCTCTTTTTTGCTTCTGCGACCAGCCAAGAGCGAGATCAAGCCTTGCCCAAGGCCGGCGAGGCTCGAGGTCACCCAATTTCAGTGAGCTCGAGCCTCGCTGACCCCGGGCGAGCTAGAGACTTGCCGCAGAGGCCGCAAGCTCAGCTGATCTGGCGAAACCCAAGCTCGTCCGAGCCTCATCACTAGAGGCCGCGAGGTCGTCAGCGGTCGCTATGGCCAGCGACCACCTGAGGAAGAAGCAAAAAGAGAAAAAGGAAGAAAATAAAAAAAAGAAAAGATTAAAATAATTAAAAATTTCGATTTTAAAAAAATTTCTAAATATTTTTATAAGAACAAAGTTTGATTAACCAAGGACCCAAGTCCAAGTGCCAAGAACCTACGCACGGCCTTTGTGGACCCGAGCCTAAGAGTCAGGACCAGAGTTCGAGCGTCTAGGACCCAAACACGGCCTTTATGGACCCGAGTTTGAGTGTCGAAGCATCGGGTACGGACACCAAGGGTTCGGGCCCGATCTTAATGAACCCAGGCTCAGCCGCCGGTGCCCTAGTCCTGAACGTCGGGACTCACGAACCAACATTGAGATTTCCATGCCCAAGCGTAAAGTTTCGAGCCCAAGCATCAATAACTAGTAATATTTTGGAAAACGTTTTCCAGTTCTTTTTCAAAGAGGAAATCAATTTTCCGAATTTAAGTTTTTGTAGGAAAATCTTTTCCATCAACTAGAAAAATATTTTCTGTTGACTCATTTTCCTAAGCGAAACAAATGCCGAAAAATGAAAAAAAATAATATTTTCACGAAATAAACGGAACCTTATTGTACTAAATTTCCGAGCCTCCATGCGAAAGCCGAAGATCCTGTGCTTTGAAATGGACAGTAAGGTGAAGGGCAGAACTGGAATCAAAGACAGCCGCCGGCTTGGACTTGGAGACTCAAAAGAGTGTATCACGAAAATTCGATACTAAAGTCATCGGGCTAATCCGTGATCACGTGAGCTCAACTCGCATCCACCGTTTAAACGGAGGCGAGCCCAATGCAGGATCCACGCTCCGTCCGGCGATGAAGCCGGGGCCGGGCGATGCCACCGTGGGTTCCATCAACGTAATTTCGGAGGAAGTCGAGCGGCAACTTCGGTTGGTGGGGAAGTCAGCAAAGCTCAGCACGGAGTGTGCATTGACCTGTGAAACGCAGACTGTTCCGGTGACCAAGACTTTGGGGCGCAGAAAACGAATCAGATTCCAATTAGCTCAGATGACGGTGACCTCCTTCCTAACCCGGAAAACAAATGTAGAGGAGACGACCAAGACCTGTGTCTTGCACTTTCTTTAATGGTAGAAAGGCGACGGGCTGATCCTGTTTGTTACTACAAGACATTAGGGGACAGCGATATTAAACATTTGAGGACCTCGTGCTGGGAAATTGGGTTGATGGACAAGTGAGGAGGGCCGTGAAGCACGAAGGCACGCGGTAACGTCAGATTCCCACGGTCGATACCTCGTCTTTGATTGGCGGGTCATCAATATGGGACATGACTTATATGCACGTTGTTGATATTCTTAATCTATAAGTGTAAATTAGTGATATGAACGGAAAAAAAATATATATTTTTTTTTATTTGGGAGCACGGATGTGAAGACTCGGAGCTAACTAAAGACCCACAAAACACCCTACAGTGTTGAGATGCAAGTGTGAGTCGTGTTGGAGGAATCTCACATCCTAATTGGCTCATTACTCATTAGTTTAAGCTTTCGAGTGAAGTTTGGTCCAACTGAATATATTACGGGCTCGAACTGCGGCTCCCTCTAGGAGATTTGGTATCGGGGGGGGCCCCAATCTATTCCGGCGTTCCGGTGAATATCGCAAGGAAGAAAGCCGATGGTAAATCGGTGGGCCCCCGATCTATTCTGGTGTTTGATGAATATCTTAAGGAATGAAGCTGATGACCAACGCGGTCCGACAGACTTGGGCTTGGGCTTCCTCTTGTCGATCTCCTCGACCAAAGGTATCGGGCTTGTGCTGCGCGCTCTCGACACACAAGTTCCATTGCGCATGATTCGTCAGGATCGAACGGGTGACCTCCGGCTGCTTCCCGACTAGAAATAATGTCAAGATTCAAAATGGTCCACACACAGGAAGCGGCAGCCAAGAAAGATAGCGGCAACTTTCCCGCAATTGTACATCCCACTCGGGTCAAGTCGATCATGCACCAGCAAGGGAAGTTGTCCGTAGGTCCCGCCTCTCCCACCCACTCGCACTAGCCTCTCTCCCCGAGTATATATAAAGAAGCAGGGCGCAAGCGAAGTGAAGCTCACAAGTGTCACACACACAAACACACAAATTACATCTGCACTAGTGCTCGTAGCCATCATCAGGAGGGACAGAACGATGGCGCCTCAGGATTCGCTAGTGTTCAAGGTGCGCCGATGCGAGGCCGAGCTGGTCCGCCCGGCGAAGCCGACGCCTCGCGAGCGCAGGAGGCTGTCGGACGTCGACGACCAGGAGGGCCTGCGGTTCCAGATCCCCGCGATCCAGTTCTACCGGGGGGACGGCACGGGGCGGGACCCGGTGCAGGCCGTCCGGGAGGGGCTCGCCAGGGCGCTGGTGTTCTACTACCCGCTCGCGGGCCGCCTGAGGGAGCTCCCGGGCCGGAAGCTGGTGGTGGACTGCAACGAGGCCGGGGTGATGTTCGTGGAGGCCGACGCGGACGTGACCCTCGAGCAGTTCGGGGACGCCCTCCAGCCTCCCTTCCCCTGCCTGGAGGAGCTCCTCTTCGACGTCCCGGGCTCCTCCGCCGTCCTCGACGCCCCTCTCTTGCTCATTCAGGTACTGTAACATCAAACTCCCGTCTTCCTAACTTAAAACAGAAGCATCATAAACCTGGACATGGACATGGACATGGACATGGACATGTGCATGCAGAGGAAAGTGAGGTTCCACGACATGTGGCTTTCCTTCCTCGTGCTGCTCGAAAAAATTAAGGGTTTTAAAGAGAAACCGCGAAGGACCCTGTTCCAATTTTCACGCACACGAAATGAGTCTGCAATCTGCACGGGTCGTCGGTCCAAGGTTACTTCTTTCGAAAGTCCAAAAAACAGTCCGTCGATGATCTCCGTGAACTCTGATGGAGCTTGCATGCTGCATGACAGACTTCTGCTGCATCTTTTTTTCTCCGACAAAAAGCTTTGATAACGAAGTTCATGACCAATTACTGCTATGGTGGGGGCAAGAGCACAGAGTTGTACGAGCATTGTACGTACCGCACCCACGAGTCGTCTCGGATTTTTGGACGTTTAGGCTTGGGGATTTCAGCAGATCCGCGGAACACGATGAATCCAGTCACAAAGTTAGAATTTTTTCTCTTGGGTGACCGTCTTTAATCTGCTGAATTATATCGTAACTCAATTATTGCACGTTGTACCTTCGTAGTGATCATACCGGTGGTCATGATTTGAAGGTTTGGTCAACAACATCCAACTACAAATTGTTTCGAAATAGAAATCATCCGGAACTTTTCAATCACAACAATCATTTTACATAAGGATAACATGCCGTCCAAAAATAAATCTTTTCGATGTCGGGAGTGGTGGCCCCATGGCCCCTTTCGCAACAAGCCAAGGAATGGGCAAAAATCATGCACAGTACATTTCGTGAACCACGACACCACCAAAAAGGTTGGAATTCCATGGGAACACTCAAGTGCCCGTGCCCCCCGCCTAGCAAAGCAATGGGGCCATTAATGGGAGGCGTTAGTGGATTAATTGCGTGACTAATTATTAATTAACTCTGGTGATTAGAATTGTTAATCCGAATCTGAGCTGATGTTGCTTGTTGGAATGGTCTTCGGGAGTCGAGGACCAGTTAATAGAAATTGATATATTAAGTGATGTGACGGATTGGATTTTATTAGCGAGTGCTGACGGTGGGAATGGTCGTGTGATGATGTGTGTGTGTGTCAGGTGACTCGTCTCAAGTGCGGGGGCTTCATCTTCGCGGTGCGCCTCAACCACACCATGTGCGATGCGCCCGGGCTGGTCCAGTTCATGAACGCCGTGGGGGAGATGGCGAGGGGCGCCGATGCCCCCTCCGTCCTCCCCGTATGGGAGAGGGAGCTCCTGGACGCCCGAGACCCGCCCCAGATCACGTGCACCCACCAGGAGTATGATCAGGTGGAGGACACCAAAGGCACCCTCATGCCGCTCGACGACATGGACCACCGGTCCTTCTTCTTCGGAGCCGCCCAAATGTCCGCCCTCCGCAGCCGGGTGCCCCCCCACCAGCACGCGAGCTCCAAGTTCGAGATCCTCACCGCGTGCCTCTGGCGATGCCGCACCATCGCGCTCCAGCCCGACCCCGAGGAGGAGGTGCGGGTGCTGTGCATCGTGAACGCCCGGACCAAGTTCGACCCTCCCCTGCCGACCGGGTACTACGGGAACGCGTTCGCATTCCCCGTGGCAGTGACTAGCGCGGACAAGCTGTGCCAGAACCCGCTGGGGTACGCGCTGGAGCTCGTGAAGAAGGCCAAGGCCGACGTGACGGAGGAGTACATGCGGTCCCTGGCGGACCTGATGGTGATTAGGGGGAGGCCCCACTTCGCGGTGGTGCGGTCCTTCCTCGTGTCGGACACGACCAAGGCCGGGTTTGGGGACGTCGACTTCGGGTGGGGAAAGGCGGTGTACGGCGGCCCGGCCAAGGGGGGAGTCGGGGCCATCCCCGGGGTGGCCAGCTTCTACATCCCCTTCCGGAACCGGCAGGGCGAGAGCGGCATCGTCGTCCCGGTGTGCTTGCCGGCCCCGGCCATGCGAAGATTCGTGCAGGAGCTGGACGCCTTGCTGAAGGATCCACCCCCTACCACTTCCAACAAGAAGTCAACCTTCGTCATTTCTTCCCTGTGAACTGCATCCGCCTACGCAATTTCAATTTCGATCTGGTGTGATGATGATCTGTCGTTTTTACTTTTTGTATGGGAATGAAAAGCTCGTATGCTGCTCTACTATCAAATGAGAAATCAAGGCTTCTCCTTTACTTCAGCTGTTGCCCACGTTAATCTGTCAAGATAGCACACTCAAGAACGGTATTGAGTCGTCGAAGTTGATAAACGACGACGATCCTGTAAAAAGGTGCAGGTAATTATGTGCTATATAAATCCAGGCCTCACTAAAATAAAAAAAAAACACCGCCTTTACCTTGAACGACAATTCTTGCTCGAACTTTTTTTATCTCGTAAAAGAATTACCAAGTTTCACTTAAATCACAAATCTGGCCTGAACAATTTGAAAATGTCACGTCACGGGAGCCAGATTTAGGACTCGAGTAAAAGTTGGTGCTTTTTATTGAGACAAAAAAAAGTTCGGGTCAAAATTTATCAAAAATAGCACACTCGATGCAGGATTTTTTGGTTAGTGTGTTATATTTATATGGATTAAAATGCCCATCGATCACTAGATCTCGAACAATGGTCAAGAACAGTATGGAGTCCTCACGACGGTGATTCTATAAAAAGGTACAAGTATTTATGTGTTATATAAATCCGAGCCTAATTCAAAAAAAAAAATGTATTGACTTTATCTTGAATGACAATTATGGCATAAACTTTTTTTTGTCTAGTAAAAGAATTATTAACTTTTACTTAAATTATAAATCTAGCCCGAACAATTTGAAAATGTCAATTCACGGGAGCCAGATTTGGGACTCGAGTAAAAATTTATACCTTTTATTGAGATAAAAAAAAAGTTCGAATTAAAATTATCATTCAAAATAAAATTGATAAATTTTTTTTTTTGAATTAGCCCTACCGATGAGAACTTTTATTCGGTACGTTGATGATGATGCGAAGGAAATTATTGCGCGGACAGTGTTTCAGCGCTGACACGTGAACACTTTTTAGTAGGTGAAAGTACCCATGTCATGGCTGCTTATGCAAAAAAGTACTTTCCGCCGACCATTTATTTTACTAAATAATAAAGTTAGTAGATTTCATTTTACTTTGGGAAATTAACAAATAAAAAATTAGGATTAATATCACAAAAAACTCCAAACTAGTACAACTGTGATAAATTTACCCCAAACTAATTCTTGAACCATCAAAAACTACCAAACTTGTCCATTTATGACAAATTTACTCTCCATTAATTTCCGCTAAATTGGATTAATGTATACATGTGACAAACGAAGGGTGGAACCCCAAACTGGTACACCAGTCAACTGTCACGTGTCGTTCAATTTGGCAATTTGATAGTAAAATTTAACAGAATCTACCGAGGGTAAATTTGTCACAAGTGTACCGGTTTGAGATTTTTTGTGGTAAATTTAGCACGGGTATATCGATTTGGGGTTTTTCGTAGTATTAACCCAAAAGAACTAGGGAAAATATCACCAAAAATCGTAAATTATGCCACTTGTGATAAATTTACTCTGAACTTTTTTTTGTGACACAAAAAATCTTAACTTATACCACTTGTGATAAATTTACCCTCAACTTTTTTTTATGACACGAAAAATCTAAAACTATGTCACTTGTGATATATTTACCACACAATACTTTGGCCCATGGACATTTTCGTCTTTTTCCTTTTTTTTTTCTTTTCTTCTTTCTTCCCTTCGCCATGGCCGGCGGAGGGAAGAAACAAGAAAAGAAAAAAAAATAGAAAAAGGAAAAAAGACGAAAATGCCCATGAGCCAAAATATTGTGTGGTAAATGTGTCACAAGTGGTATAGTTTGGGGCTTTTCGTGTCACAAAAAAAAGGTCAGGGTAAATTTTTCACAAATAGCATAGTTTAGGATTTTTCGTGTCACAAAAAAAAGTTCAAGGTAAATTTATCACAAGTGACATAGTTTGAGGTTTGTGGTGATATTTTCGCAAAAAACTATCACCTAACAAAATGATAAGTTGTACTTGTGCGCACAAAGCTGAGGTGGGCAAGGCCGGAACTGTCTTATGTATTATTCCTGGTCAAATGTGTCCAAATGTCTGCTTCCCAATGCCTTTTGTCTTTGCCCTTTGGCCTCTCTCTATCTAGTACTGTTGCCAAGCTGCCGGCCTCCTAAAGCATATATCCTCCTGCTTTGGGCCATACGCCAAGCACACAGCTGAGGAATCCACATACAGCACATGGACACCCGGAGATCAAGCCGCGGCACCGGACCTCCTCCTAGGAATGGCCGCAGGGATAACAAGGACGAGGACCTCCTCCTCTTCCGGGAATTGCACCGTCGCGAGAAGGACCGCGCCGTGAACCTCCTCCTGCCCGTTTCCGATGAGTTCGAGCCCAATGGGATTCCAGGTACATAGTCCCTCTTCTAAGGACACTTGGTTTTTGTGTTTGGGTGTAAGACTGAATTATGCACACTCTGGCTCGATCTCGATGCAGGCAACTATCCTCTTCCTATGTACAAAACCGCGTCGGGTAGAAATGACTTCCTCGTCGAGAATGACAAGAATGATTACAACTGGTACGTTAGTCGTCCTTCTTCCCTTCCCTTCTCGACCATCCTTGCTTTTTACCACATTCCTATATGTGCCCTCTTCAATTGCTCATACATATTATGGATCATGAGAAGCTGCTGTACTGTGTTTAAGGTTGAAGACACCTCCAGCGACTCCTCTATTCCCATCATTAGAGATGGAAGCAAACGCAGGGGACTACCCGATGCAGCGGGAAATACCAATTTTGCAGCCTCTTACGCGGGTAATGGTACTATTGATGACAATGCCTATCTCAGCTTTCTATATTGAACCTGAACTTTTTATCTTCTGTGCATGCCTGCTGGAAGTAGGATAGTATGTTAACCATGTTCAAATTGAAGCCTCACGAATATTCTGACGTGAGTTATGTGGGTAATACACTTAGCATTAAACTGATTTTGCAAAAGCATATTGCACAGAATACGCGTTTGTTTTTATTTGATTCGACCGTATGAGTTTTGCCAGTTCACTCAGTAAATAAGGTTTCGGGAACTTTTCCAAACATGTAGCTAGTCTTCTGCAAACAAATGCACGCGTGAGAGAGTCGCTTTTATGGTAAGTAGCTAATAAAAAACCCCCAACATTGTATAAAGGCATGCAGCTTGTGTCAGATTGATACTGATGGAGAACAATGCCACACCTAAGACTCTGCCAGAAGACATGGTAATCTCTTGCAAGTCATCTTCCCAAGCCTAAAGAAAATCGACAAATTTTCTAGCATCAAGTTCACTTTTATAGGCTACTCATATGAGAAGTAGCACTCAGTTTCAATATCTGGAATCAACGTTAAACTCACCTAGCTATCTTATTGTGCAACTATAACCCCATTGTTCTATGCTGTGATCAAAGGATTATACAGTTCACAATGTCGAGTATAGGAGCCTGATGACTCATAACATCCTAACCAGTTTGCAGGAATTGTGGGTGGGAGAGAAGCAACCAACGGAACCCAAAAGTCTCCACGAAACAAGCCGAAGACTCCTCCAGCATCTGCATCAGTAACCCAAAAGAACAGTGTCTCTTCAGCTGATCACACCAATAGGTCCCCGGCTTTATTTATTCTGAATCAGAAGATGACTCAAGAGCTGGTACTTGCCAAAAAGACGGAGGCAGCTCCCAATGCTTCAAAGCCTGCCAGTGCAAGCCACAGATACGGTCGTTTCAGCAGCATTACCAAGTCCACAGGAGCAGACTCCAGTGCAATTAGGCCAAGCAGTATTAACAATAAGAGAGGCGTGTCGCCTCTAACAAGGTCAACGATACCCGCCCAGTTTCTAGGTTTCTCCAATGAAACTCCCTCTAATCTTAGGAAAGATCGTCCGACATCTACTTCACGTGGTCGGCCAAGCAATAATTCTAAATCATCAGTAACTGAACAACCACCAGAACCCTCTGCAACACAAAGGAGACAATCACGCTCACCAAGTGTGACCAGGGGCCGGAAACTGGAACCAAAATCCGGAAATGTGACAGGGAATACGGCACCATCCTCGCAGTCTCGCCTGAGGGGCACCAGTCAAACACGAAATGGTTCACAAGTATTACTAGGGAGTAGTATGGTGGAGAAAGTATTGAATGCTCGAAAAGCAGGCAAGCCTGCGGGAAGAAATACTGGTTTCCCATGAACCGAGTAAATTTTCATGCTCTGCACCAACAAGGTTTGGTACTTGAGGTTCAATAGAAGTTACACAAAGCCTCAAACCATCAGAAACAAAGACCGGGTTTTGGACTGTATCCTGCTATCAATGTCGCACACTCAATTCACCAATGATAATAACTCGGTTCAATTTGTCGTTTGATTTCAAGAATGAAGAGTGACTAATATGAAAATGCGGACACTCCTATTTCGGTTCTGAAACTTAAGATGATGAACGCTCACATGCCATCTACTTTGTTTCGGTAGTCCTTAATACTTAATTCTTTTTAAGCAACACTAGCATCTCCAAGTCCGGGCAATACATTTGAATTGAATTTTTTACGGAAGGACCAAATGAAAGTACTTCAAAGCTGTAGAAAAATATCGTGATTACATGCATGAAAATACAGCTTGGAACGGACAAGTTTCGAGAATGTCTGTCAAATGAATACAAGGTCCCGGAAGACTAAGGCTGCGTATGACAACTTGCCAAACAGTGTTTGATTCTGTTCTTTTGTTCTCAGAATCAGTTTGGGAACAGAAATATGTTTGTTTAATTTTTTGATTCTGGGCACAATTTTGTCAAAAATTGTTCCCAGAATCAGTTTTCAAGAATAAAAAAAAAAGTAGCTTCTTGATTCTGGGAACAATTTTGAGAATCAATTTTTTTTATTCTTCATTTTCTTGGTTTTTAATGTAGCTTCTAATGTCCGGCCTGAAGACCGCCCTCGCCGGATCTGACGAGAATAAAATATTTTACTAAAAAATATTATTAATAAAAAAATATTATTAAAATAAAAAATATTTTACGGGCCATGGCCGGCGACCAGGCCATGGCAAAAAAAAAGAAAAAAAATATATTTTTAATAAAAAAATTATTAATAAAAAAATATTTTACCTGCCATGGCCGGTGACCAGGCCATGGCAAAAAAAAATAAAAATGTATATTTTTAATAAAAATATTTTAATAAAAAAATTATTAATAAAAAAAAATTTACAGGCCGTGGCCGGCGATCAGGCCATGGCCAAAAAAAATAAAAATATATATTTTTAATAAAAAATATTTTACCAGCCATGGCCGACGACCAGGCCATGGCAAAAAAAAATAAAAATATATATTTTTAATAAAAATATTTTAATAAAAAATATTATTAATAAAAAAAAATATTTTACCGGCCATGGCCAGCGACCAAGCCATGGAAAAAAAAATAAAAACGTATATTTTTAATAAAAATATTTTACAGGCAATGGCCGGCGATCAGGCCATGGCCAAAAAAAAGAAAAATATATATTTTTAATAAAAATATTTTAATAAAAAAATATTTTACCAGCCATAGCCGGCGACCAGGCCATGGCCAAAAAACATAAAAATATATATTTTTAATAAAAAATATTATTAATAAAAAAAAATATTTTACCGGCCATGGCCGGCGACCAGGCCATAGCCTAAAAAAATAAAAATATATATTTTTAATAAAAAATATTATTAATAAAAAAAATATTTTACCGGCCATGGCCGGCGACCAAGCCATGGCCTAAAAAAATAAAAATATATATTTTTAATAAAAAATATTTTAATAAAAAATATTATTAATAAAAAAATATTTTACCGGCCATGGCTAAAAATAAAAAAAATATTTTACCGGTCATGGCCAGCGACCAGGCCATGGCCAAAAAAAAGAAAACATACTTTTAATAAAAATATTATTAATAAAAAAATATTTTACCGGTCATAGCCGGCTAGCAGGCCATGGCCAAGAAGGAAGAAAAGAAAAAACGAAAAGAAAAAAAAGAAAGAAATATTAAAATATTTAAAAATATTATTAATAAAAAGAAATTTTGTGGCGTTACCAAATGCATTTCTATTCTTTTTTTATTCCAGGGATGGAATTTTGGGCCGTTAACAAATGCCTTAAAATGCTCAGAATCAATTTCGGGCACAGAATCAAAAAAATTATTTCTGAGCAGAATCTGTTTCTGGACACAGAATCGTTGTCGTGCGCTGAGCGGGCATTTATTAGTCAAACACCCCGAGTTGATCTTCACACTAATTGGACATTTAATGCCGTCATAACCATCTTGCTCTGATGGGCATTATTGCGAACCTGACGTGTGGGACATATTGCTTTTGCAGACGTACATAACCTCGCTCACAGCCACCAGTGACAGGACTCACATGTCCAAATTAACATCATATGTCCCCTCTCCCTCTCTCTCTCTCTACAGCCTGAAATTCTGGGTTCAACCAAACTAGCCATTACAAGGCTTCAGGACTATGGTTGTGAACTGTGGATTGTGCAATTCAAAGCAAGCTGAATAGAGCGGGCCTAGGACCGAGTCGACCGACGTACATGGAGCAACAGATGGAGAACAGGCAAGTGATATTCAAGGGGTTCATAGAGAGGGTTCCAAGGGAGACGGACATGGAATTCAGGGTGGGAAGCATCAATGGCAGTCTCAAGGCGCCTGCGGGATCGGGTGCTTTCCTGGTCAAGAATCTCTACCTCTCTTGCGACCCCTACATGAGGGGACGTATGCGCGATTCCCGCACTTCATATATCCCCCCTTTTGTTCCTGGTCAGGTACAATTTCTCGGCCTGTATCCTCGCTTTCGTCTTGCAGTAATATCCGTAAATTCCGCAACCACGTCATTTTCTATTGGTGGGAATCAGACCTCCTAACTCTATCCGTGCATAGCTCGTCTCCAAATGGAGTCCGGACCGCTCCTTGCTATGAAATGATGAAACACCATATGTGGAGTCGATGCATCATACTTGTTTTGTTATCATTTGCCTGTATTTTATATATTCAACTTGGGGAGTTGTAATCCACTAAACAGTTTCCTTGGTGCAGCCCATCGAAGGGTTCGGCGTTTCCAAGGTTATTGACTCGGATGATCCGGACTTCAAGCCTGGGGATTTAGTTTCGGGGCTAACTGGCTGGGAAGAATACAGCTTGATAAGGAAGAATCACCAGTTGAGAAAAATAGAGCAACATGATGTCCCTCTGTCATATCACCTGGGACTTCTTGGTATGTTTCTCCTACTGTACCTGCTTACTACATGGAGCATCTCTCAGACTAGTTTGTCTGATACATTTCTCAGGGTAACTTTTCATTGATAGGTAAAGAGCCCCTGCAAACTGGCACCTAACTTTCTTATCTAGTGTACTTTAGGAGCCACATTGCATTCACCTGCAAGTCTCTTTAGCTAAAGATTATTTTGCTTGATAAACAATCTTTGGGATGCTACCATCAGAAACTTCCCTTATCGGCTTCTATCTAAATCAACCGCATGAGGATCCAGATGGGATGAATTTGTATAACAAGGCCTACAACAACCCACCAAGACTCTCCCTCTCCACCCCTCCCCCCCACCCCCACAAAGAGTATGGGGATCCTGGCACGGGGATGAATTTTTTACCATAATTTTTCTAATCAATTGAATTCTGGGTCGACTCATAGCACCTTTCATTGGTTAATCAGATGGTCGCTTGAGCACCACTTGAATATTGATGCCATCTTCAGTAGAATTTGCTGCTAAAGGTCGATATTTAAAGTTTAGAAAGCCGAATGACTTGTTCAAAGGTTTCGAAATTTCCATCAAATGTGCAAGTTGTTTTGAAGCATAGTTTTTAGTAGCTGCTGTTCATTACAATATTTGGTGGACCTATACAATCCCATTGCACAACTAATTTTGTCAAATTTTCATGGTATGTCTAGTGAAACAAACCGTACTCAACTCAATGTTGCGGCAAATTTTCATAGCCTAAAAAATTCCCTGGCGTATAGTCAGCACAAGCATCTTCATGGTAGCACAAGCCTCTTCATGGTTCCTAAATAATAGATTTTACGCAGGTATGCCAGGATTTACTGCATATGTAGGATTTCATGAGATATGCTCCCCTAAACAAGGAGATACCGTCCTCGTATCTGCAGCTTCTGGAGCAGTTGGACAGCTTGTTGGCCAACTTGCTAAACTGCATGGCTGCTATGTAGTTGGAAGTGCTGGCTCAAGCCAAAAGGCAAGTCTGTTAGTCATTGGAATTTATAGTGTCATTCTTTTAACTGCAGATTACAGAGAGAAACATCTAAAAGTTCGAGTACGGAATGTTTAGGTTGACCTGCTGAAGAATAAACTTGGATTTGATGAAGCTTTTGTCTATAAAGATGAGCCAGACCTGGATGTGGCTTTGAAGAGGTCAGTGCTACTAGTATATTTGCATTGCTTTTGTTGCTTGTTGACAGGCTAACCGTGAACAAATCATCTTGATCATCTTTCATTATACACTTTCTGGGAAAGATCATAGATACTTGTGCACGTTCCTCCTTGCTATCTTTTCAGATGAGTAGCTCAACAATATATGGTGGGCTAACAGGTACTTTCCTCAAGGGATCGACATCTACTTTGATAATGTGGGGGGAGACATGCTGGATGCTGCGCTTCTCAACATGCGGGTCGGTGGGCGCATTGCGGTCTGCGGCATGGTATCGCAGCATAGTCAAACCGATCCACGAGGGATCCAGAACTTGTTCAATCTGATAACAAAGCGCATCAGGATGCAGGGGTTCCTGCAAAGCGACTACTTGCACCTTTTTCCCCTCTTCTTCAATCAAGTCATGGAATACTACAAGCAGGGGAAAATCTCTTATATGGAAGATGTGGTTCGTGGATTGGAACATGCTCCAGCTGCATTCGTCGGCCTGTTTTCGGGTAGAAATGTCGGCAAGCAGGTCATTTATGTTGCCAGTCCATAGGATGGCTAATGAATTTGGCAGAAACTAGGGAAGAAGTAAGTGTGAAGGCCTATCCCATCCAAGCACCATTCAGAAACTTTTACTTTCCCTGCTCGGGCTAAAAGTCCCGGTAACCTGGGAGGAAGATGACAACATTCCGATTCCTTCTCTCCAATGTTGACACTATAATGTTTAGCGACTTGAAATACTGGTGCGATAAGGATAGTCTTTCTTGGGTATCGCTGGTCATGGCTCGAATTCATGGCAAGTACCGTTGCCTTCCTAGCCGCGGCTCGGTTTTGGAAAATTCCAGACTCTATTGCCTGACCATCGATCGAATTTCATGAAGATCCAGGTGTATGCGAAAATTACCTATTCCAAAAAGAAGATGAATCCTCAGGCCTATCATATCTCACCAAGATCATGTTGAGAAACGCCCTCATTCAGACCAAGGAAAACAAGTGTCGTTGGCATTGAAAAGGAACGGCCAAGTCGAGGCTCATGCGATACACATTGCTCACATAGAAAAAGAAGAGATCCCACGTTTGGTGTTAAAAGGTATGAAAGCAGGAGGGTGAGTAATAAGAAAGTTCGACCACAAATGCATGAAACCATATATCCCTGTGCCTTCCTTGGAGGAGAAATGGGCAAGAATTTTTTCTCCATCTCTCCTCCCCACATCTTCCTCCTCTTCTTCCAAATCCATGGCATAGTAAGCTGTCGATCTAGTTCCGTTTTCAAGGAAGTAGGTGACTACCAGAGTAAGTAATTTACTGACTTCGAGTGGAATGTCAGTTATCTACTCATGGAGAAATTCGCCACTCAACCGGATTCCCATCATCATTAGCATTCTCAGCTACATTACCAGCTACATTCTCAATCCTTTCCACATTGACATCTTATAGACCTTTAAATTAATTTGAGCTCCCCCTATCTCACCACCATAATACTCCACATACATGTCAATAAATCTCATAATGTTGATAATGATATAAGAGATCTATCATAGTCGAGCTACCCCTTGAAACCTGAAACCATCTTCGAGAGCACTACTTTTAGGAGCTCTATAAAAGAGTATGTCTATTTTATACCCAACCAAAGCCATAATAGCAATTATATGATAGAGTGAACCCTTACCTAAGTTTATTTCGATAACAGCAATGCTTCCACCTATGCATTCAAGGAGTCATCCAACTCGAAAGCTACCTCGAAAGAAAATAGGCAAAAGACACCAAAAACCCTAAGTTATGCTCACTCTGATACGTTTACCCGGACTTTTTTCTATGACACTAAAAATCCCAAACTTGTTCCTATGTAGGACATTTACCCTTCGTCAAAATTTAGTCAAAACCGTTAAAAATCTGTATACATGGACACTAAAAAGTAAACAGTGTTAACGCCCATGTGGCTTAAGTAAAATAAAAGCAACATTGTCTTGGTTGAAAAATCATCCAACGAAACATTGATGGGGGTAAATATGTCAGATAGATATACGTTTTGGGTTTGTTTATGTCGGAAAAAAAGTTTAAGGTAAATATGTCACAATGGGCATATATTTGATTTTTTGATATCACAAGAAAAAAGTTCAGGGTAATTATATCATATTATGCATAGTTTGGGTTTTTTATGACTTTTTTCCCAAAGAAAATTGTGACAAGGACCTTGTAGTCGGTCGCTAGACTTGCAAGAGACCAAAAACATGTAATGAACGCCATTATTTTATATTACGAAAGTGCAATTGAGTCCTAAAATTTTCAAAAAGTGCAATCAAATCCTAAAACTTGTCATATTAATCAAATCAAGTCCTTTCGTTGATCGGACGTTTTGAAAGTTTTAGTAGTCAATTTCACTTTCGTGATAAGTTTTAGGACTTAATTGCACTTTTTGAAAGTTTTAAAATTCGATTGCACTTTCGTGGCGAGTTTTAAAGCTTTTAGTGCACTGATCCCTTTCTTTTATAATGCGGAACAAACATAGGTCCCAACAAATCGAAGATTCTGACATGTAAAAATACTATTTCAGCAATACTTTTGCAATTCCAAATCAAAATGCAACATTGACAACGGAGTATATGCTCGACACGCATTACGCGAAAGAATGTTTGTCCCCTCCAATGAGCTTTTGTCCTCTCCAATGCCCTCGATTATTCCCTTCAAATGCCGAATCTCTGCAATCAGGGCTCGCACGAAGAAGATGGCCCGACCATCCTATCTGAAATGTCATCACATGACATGCCATTTTTGAAGGGTCAGAGATGAAGAATCGGGGTTTTAAATTCACCGTGGACGACTCATTAGTAAACGCTCAAGTCATTATTTTCCTTCCATCAATTCAGACGGAGCTAAAGGATGAACTTCACCGTCTCGCGAATATTTCAAGCTTTGGGACCTAATCGCAACGGTCCATAATTCCAAGAACTTGTGCACACAACATGTATGTCACATAAACTTTCAGAGATTTGATGCACTTATTATTCCATACACATATTCGCATCTTCTCAAAGAAGCCCAAAAATGACTTCCTTGGAGTGCTGTCTCGTTCATCTTCGACGTGACAGTAGAAACTAGGGAGAAAAACACTAGAAGTGCCAAAACTTATGTACGACGCTCACTTTAGTGCCAAAAGTTTGTTTCGAATCACTTAAGTGCCAAAATCGGAGAAAAACGATTACTTAAGTGCCAACGGCGAGAAATTCCGCCAAATTAATACGTGGCTTTTTTAATTAAAATTTTAATCTACGTGGCATTTCCACATGTATATTTTGAATTTCTCAGTCCTACGTGGCATTTCCACGCGTAAATTTCGAATTTTTAATTGTTTTTTTTTTCTGTTTTTTCCTTCTTTTCTTTTTTTTTCTTCTTCTTCATTTGGCCGGTGACCGGACACCGGCCATCGGCCATGGCCGGCCGCTGGCCTCGCAGGGGTCGCCTTCCCGGGCGGCCGCCGGCGAGGCCGCTGTGGCCTAGGCGAGGGCCGGCCCGGCTGGATGAGGGGAGCTCACCTAGGCAAGGCGTTCCCCGAGGCGAGGCGGCCCTCGCCCGGGCCACGGCGGCCTCGCGGGCGGTCGCCGGGGTCGCCGTGGCTGGGCGACCGCCGGCAAGGCCGCCGTGGCTCGGGCGAGGGCCGGCCTCGCCTCGCTTGGGCATGCCCTTGCCCGGGAGAGGCGAGGCCGGCCCTCGCCAGATCTGACGGGGCCGGCCCTCGCCTAGGCCACGGCGGCCTCACCGAGGATCGCCTTCCCCCTGGCGACCGCCATGGCTTGGGCGAGGGCCGGTCTCGCCCAGATCCAACGGGGCCAGCCCTCGCCCAGGCCACGGAGGCCTCGTCCGGGCGAGGCCAGGCGGCCGGCCATGGCCCATGGCCGGTGTCCAGTCACCGGCCAAACGAAGAAGATGAAAGAAAAGAAAAAAAAAAAAAAAGGAAAAATCAGAAAAAAAAAATCAGAAAAAATTTAAAAAATTAAAATATTATTAAATATTATCCTCGTCACGCGCAGAGCCACGTAGACTAAAAATTAATAAAATATGGCCACGTCAGATTTCCGGCAACTCAAATTGAAGTTGGCACTTAAGTGATCTTTTTTTTAAAAAAGTAGTACTTAAGTGATCCGAAATAAACTTTTAGCACTAAAGTGAGTGCCGTACGCAAATTTTGGCACTTGTAGTGTTCTTTCTCCCTAAGAAACTAGAAAGCGTGGGGGATCTTCCGCGCACAGCGCCCCGTATCTGCCGACTCTTCTCCCCCTCTCTCTCTCTCTCTGAACCGGGACGCCTCGAAGAACTCCGCCAATCCCTTCTCTCCCGTCCGTTGAGCTCCGATCGGTACGCGTCGCCGGCGACTCCTCCGTTCTCCGGTGAGTGCTCCCTCTCGTGGGTCGCGTCGTTCCTCATCCTCCTGCCTGCTCCTGCGCAAGTAGGGTAATGCTCTTTGGTTAGGATGCTGGGTGATCGATTTGCGCCATTGGGTGATCCTTCTTTTGGGCAATTTGAATCTCTCTCTTCGTTTCCGTTCGCGCCCTGCTCTTCCCGGGCTTCAACCCGGGAAGGAGGATCCAAGAACGCCTTGTCTGACAAGCTTCGCATATCTGATATATGTTTTTTTTACTTGAGAAAAGAATTTGTTCTTGGGTATGATTGTTATGTTGTTTGCCAATGGTGTCTGGTTGAAGACGAACCCAATTGGATGAATTGTTATTTTTTGCAGACTGCGAATAGGAAGAATAGGCGGATGATTGTGTTACGGATCTCCAAGTCCGAAACGTGTATATAGAGCAGCTGGGTTAGTCCTTCCAATCTTTCCAGTGAGGTGGTTGTGGTGACTGGTTCGATTACCCGGAACGGTCGAGGGGCTTGATGATCAGGATGTGCCAATAACTTCTCTTCAGTAGCTGCATTGCTGGGCCTCGTGGGAATGGCTTCCAAAGCAATCTTGCGCAAGCAGAAGTACCTCATTGACTTTCTCAATCGCCCCACTTGCTTAATCAGGGCATTCTCATTTTCTGAGCATGGCCAACTTCCCCTATGTGACGGCCCTCAGGATTTGGGTAGTACACCAAGCAATGCATTTGCTAATACTGATCTTAAAGCTGACCGAAGTAGACATCAGCCGTCTACTTTTGTAATGCAACGATGTTTCAGACATTTGCCACATGAGGTCACGACATTGGACTACATACTAGATAGGAAGGATCTTGTTTCTTCTTTTAGAGTAACAAGGATCTCAGAATTGATGCGGCATGCTTCTACGGCAACAGCTGGCCAACCTGAAACTCGTAGTGGTAACAGTCAAAGCAAGGAAAAGGCTTCTAAGCAGGTAAAGGAGGCTTCACCTGAGGATTGCGACCAGGCAGTTGAAGGATTGAGCACAGCAAAAGCGAAAGCAAAGGCTAAGCAAATGCTAGAATCCCAGAAGAGCGATGATTCTTTACTGAAGAGAATGTGGGCTACACTTTTGGGAATTGGTCCTGCTTTGAGGGCCATTGCTTCCATGAGCAGGTTTATATATTCTTGCCTCGTGGCTATACTAGTTCAAGAATTTATTGGTGTCTCTTATCATCTATAATTTGTTCAGGGAGGACTGGGCTAAAAAGATTCGCCATTGGAAGGATGAATTTATATCTACCCTGCAGCATTATTGGTTGGGCACAAAATTGTTGTGGGCTGATGTTAGGATTAGCTCACGGTTGCTCATAAAACTTGCAAATGGGAAGGGTCTTTCTAGGAGGGAAAGGCAACAACTTACACGCACTACAGCTGATATTTTCAGGCTAGTTCCTTTTGCAGTTTTTATTATAGTCCCATTCATGGAGTTTCTGCTGCCTGTGTTCTTGAAACTATTTCCAAACATGTTGCCATCAACATTCCAGGACAAAATGAAAGAAGAGGTGAGCTTCCTCTATGTTTGCTTCCTCATGTAATAATCTTCATTTCTATTGTACTTGCATTGGTGGCATTTTTAAATTACAGTTCACAAGAACATTCTGCAACAGTGCTGTGCTTAAGATAAAGAGCCTCAACCATCCTTTGAACAATATTGTACGAAATAATTGCTTAGCACTTTCCCCTGATCGAGAATGGTAGCCTCAGGGCCAAAATACGAGGCCAAGCCTTTGGAAAGGGTTCTTCCAAGCGGTGACCTTTTGGGGGATGGATTTTTACTTGTGGACACCATTTCATAATCTCTATATGTGTGTGTGTGTGTGGAAGACTTGGGGAGTCCATCTCAAGGAAGTGCTCCTCTATGATCCAGATTCGCTTGAAACCACCAATTCCTCCCCCCACCCCCCCCAAAAAAAAAAAGAAAACTTCCTTTCAAACCCAAAAGACTTACTCTCATGCATGATTTTTGGGTTGGTCTTTACATGTGTATCATTTCGCAACCTCTTTCTAGCTCCACGTGGGACTTGAGAGTCACACCTTACAAAGAGGTGCCGCTAGAAAAGTGCTTTATTGTTCAAGGATGGAAATTGTGATTTTTTTTAAATTATTGGCCTGAACCAACTGCGCTTTAATTGCATGGTAATGGTAATATTTTGTTAACTTTTGATGGAGAGTGCGAGTAGGTTTATATCTGTGTACTGTATGTGCTTATAGTATATTATTTTACTCTTACCTTTTCGTTCCAGAGTTTTTGCCTCAAATCTTGTAAGCGTGGTCCTGTTCTAATGCCTGATAAATTGCCGCCACTTTTTTCCTAATCTTTAATTGGGCAGCAAAATGACCAATCAAATTTCTTCACTCCTATTGTGTAAAAATTTTGTTTTGAAATGTTGGCATAATGAGCAGAAACACATTCAAAGGTTTCCAAATGGTGCTGGATGATTGGAAGTATAGCAATATTAGTCTTGTCCCTGGGACAAAACTAAACCTGCTTATCTTGCTGCTTCTTGGTCATTCATAAGCCATGGTCAGGAAGAACCTGCATATAAATTCAGCCATGAGATGTACACTCCAGATGTGCATTTTCCACTATTCTTGCAACTGCACTATTCCAGTCATGTGAACTTTCGGTCTCAGAAGAAATTTTTGATTTGTAGGAGGCACTGAAAAAACGGCTCATTGCTAGGATAGAGTATGCCAAGTTTCTTCAGGACACAGTCAAAGAAATGGCAAAGGAAATTCAAAGCTCGCGAAGTGGAGAAATTAAGAAGACCGCAGAAGATCTGGATGACTTTCTGAACAAGGTAAAGAGTTATTTGCTTTACAGTTTCGATTAGGTCATTTCACTCCCAGTTTGTAGGTGTATTTAGATTCTCTTTTCAACAGGTAAGAACAGGTGCTCGTGTTTCCAATGACGAAATTTTGGGCTTTGCCAAGTTATTTAATGACGAACTTACCTTAGATAACATCAGCAGGTTGGCCTTTCTCTAAATTTTGGCATTCTTAGCCGTTGTCTACGATTGGTTTTGCTTGCAAGCGAATTGAAATTTCACATGGCTATTATTCCATTTTGTTGTGATTACAGGCCTCGACTAGTGAACATGTGCAAATATATGGGAATTAGCCCATTTGGAACAGATGCATACCTTCGTTATATGCTCCGGAGGCGACTGCAAGAGTGAGACAATATGTTCTTCACAAAAATTTAACTCATCTGTAGATACCCGTGATGGTCATTTATTAATAAGTTCCCTTCTAATTAAGTTTTAGCGAGTAGATGGAATCCTTCATATGGTCCGTGAGAACTTCTGCTGTGAGTCATATGGGAGGGAACTGGACTATTGGTTGATTGATGACTTAATATAATTTTGTCTGTCGGATTTGGCAGGATAAAGAATGATGATAAGATGATTCAAGCAGAAGGTGTGGAGTCTCTTTTAGAGGAGGAGCTTCGTCATGCCTGCAGAGATCGAGGTTTGCTGGGATTACTTTCTGTGGATGAAATGCGGCAGCAGGTGCTCTTCATTTCCATTTTTGTGTTAATTTACTTTCTTGTAATAAGCGGTGTTTTGAATGAACAGTTTATGGGGTGTCTGGGGCCACTTAAAATATATGCTTGGTGTAAGTTGCCTGAATTACCAAGTTGTTTTAAATTTACTTGGAGAAAACCTAAATGGGTTTAAATGCCCATATCTATATATCTTTAAAAATCTGAGAGGGTTGAAAAAAAAATCCCGAACTCTAAAATTTAAAGCAAAATGAAATCTTAAAAGTTTAAGTCACTTCAAACACACAATGTCTCAAGCTAGGTAGATTGTTCATTTGAGTAATAGTTCTTAGCTACGTTGATTATTCATTTGAGTAATAGTTTTGCATTGAGCTTCTTTTGTCAGTCGAGTTTTTGTATAAGAGTTACAGAGTCTAGATACATCATCATGCTTGGTTTATCCCCCTGGGGGTACATGAGCTTAATGTTTTAATCTAGATGTTTAAATTGTGGCTTCTCTTTTCAGCTGCGTGATTGGCTGGATTTATCTCTCAACCATTCTGTACCATCTTCTCTTCTAATTCTTTCAAGGTAAACCTTTGTGCATTTGGATGTCGCATTGTGTATTATGTCATCTTCTTCATTGCGACTTTGTTCTCATTTTGAACAGAGCCTTCTCTGTATCTGGAAAAGTGAGGCCAGAGGAAGCTGTCCAAGCAACACTATCATCTCTGCCGGACGAGGTTGTGGACACTGTTGGAGTGACAGCGTTGCCATCTGAAGATTCTGTTTCAGAAAGGAGGAGGAAGTTGGAGTTCCTAGAAATGCAGGAAGAACTGATCAAGGTCGACTATCTTTCTTGAGGTTTTCTTATAGTACGAGGTTGTCAAGGCTGTTTACCACCTAAGCTAGCTGGTGGCAGTTACCTATGCAATGTCCAATTCTGCCATTATTTCTTGTTTTGAGAGTGGATATGGTTAATGTTTCTGCTTGGAAGTGGGTTTCTCCCTTTTAATGTCCTTGATGCAGTGTCTATTTATTTTTCGACTCACATTATGCTCTTAATTTAAGTAGTTTCTGAGCTCCCTGTTTTGTTGATTTATGTGGCAAAACTAGGTTAGATGTATTTTTGGTTGGGGGAGAGAGAGAGGCACTCTTCAATTTGCACATGCCTTGTTAGTGAAGCTAAGAACAAGAACTTATCTGTTTATGTTTTCTGCCACAAGAATGAGAACATTATCTCTCATATTTGATTTAGCTTTAATCTTCACATATAATGTCATGATTGATGTGCAGGAGGAGGAAGAAGAGGAAGAAGAGGAGCAGGCTAGGATGAAAGAATCAGTTAGTAGCCAAAAGGATGTCGCTTTGGAGGAAATGACCGCTTCTACGTCCAGAGAAGCGGTAGAACAGGCAAAATCAAAAACATTGGAAAAACATGAGCAGCTTTGTGAGCTTAGCCGTGCATTGGCAGTGTTAGCTTCAGCATCTGTATGCATCTGTATTTTACTTGTTTCTACAAGGAAGAGGCAGTTTTTTGTTGATTTTTGGTGTTTCATCTGATTCTTGTTTTTATCTTCTGTGATTTCAGTCAGTGAGTAGAGAGCGTGAAGAATTTCTGAGGCTTGTTAAGAAGGAGGTATTCCAATTCGAGTCATTGATATGGAAGTCTACATTTAATCCTTCAGCATGTGTGGATTTGCATTTCGCTTCCCAAGATTTCTGAGGACTGCTTTAGATATAACTTCTGAAGAATATCTTTTCCCATTTTCTGGTTGGTAGGCATTTAATCGAGCATGCCAGATATTTACTTTTACTTGGACATAAATCAAAGAGAGAACTAACCAGTATAAGAATGCACATATCTAATATGTTATCTTGAGTGTTTATTTCCTCTGTCTTGCATATGGTGGCAAAAATTTCATCTAAATAACTCTTAGTTCCTTTTATCTATATGAGTACATTAGTTGGTGATTCCTCTTTCACAATTTACCCGGTGCATGATCTAATTTTATCTTACAACTGCATAGTTAATTGCATGATGTGAGATACGCTTATGTTGAAGGTTTGAGGCCCCTGTTCCTTGGATTTGAACTTCTTTCTCAATGCATCTGTTGCTTATACTGATCGGTGATCAGAAGGTGTTTCACGACTTTGCGAGAGCCCCTTCTCAGATTAAGCGTCTATATGCAACTCTTTCCTCCCCTTCTTTGAGCTGAGTGCAGATGCTGCATTTTCTCAGGCTATGACAAGTAAAACAGTATGTTATACATGAAGGATGTGCATAAAGGGGAATCCGTGTTCCACTCTGTTTACAGTTTTGCTCAGCATGATATAATTACTTTCTTCATCATGAATGGGGTGACTAATTTCTCTTGGTCTTTGTCACAAAATGAAGTAAACTTTCTTTGTTGACTTGGGTTGAGGGGGCCAACGTTGTCTTTGTTGACCTGGGCTTGTCAGGGATGTGATTCTCCCTCTCTATGGTTTCAATAGAATTTATTGAATTATTGAAAAACATAATGCAGTAACCTTTCGTGGTGAGGTTGAATCTAATTATCTAGCATCGCATTAAGAGGAATAAAGATAAATCAAAACCTGGAGAAGTTATATCTGTCCTCTTTTATTCTCATTAACAGTCTTGTTTAGATTCCTTTCCACGGGTTAGTTCCTAACTCTTTGGTATCATCCCCCAGGTTGATTTGTATAACACTATGGTGGAGAAAGAGGGTTTGGAAGGTGAAGAAGCAGCAAAACAGGCATATAGAGCTGCCAGAGAGGATAGTGACCGTGCTGCGGGGATGACCATTGGAAACAAGGCTTCCTCTGTCCTAATTGACAGGGTAATGGCAGTTTTGAAGGATTCTAATTTTAGCTTTTGTTTTTTGAGTGCACTCTGCAGTAACTTAACAGTGTTCCTCTTGATGCATGACTCTGCAATGTGAAAATGACTGAATGCTTGGCTATGGTTCTTCATCTTAGGTTGATGCAATGCTCCAGAAGCTTGAAAAAGAAATTGATGACGTTGATGCAAAAATTGGAAGCCGCTGGAGACTGCTTGACAAGTCTGTTAACCACTTGCATTTAGTAACACCGCTTTTTATTAGGAAGCTTTAGATTTCTTTAGTTGGTTACTTGTTTCTCCTTGTTGTATCTCAAGTCCCCAATTGTACCCTTCATTTGCTAGGGATTATGATGGTAAGGTTACTCCGGAGGAGGTTGCATCTGCGGCTATGTTCCTCAAGGACACCCTTGGTAAAGATGGCATTAAAGAACTTATTAGCAACCTTTCCAAAGATAGAGGTTAGTAACAAAAAATTGCAGTTTTCTCTTCCAAATAGACTCTGCACATTAAATGGTGATCAAGGAATATCTGAGGTGTTAGAAGTTTGTTCAAAACTTCTCGACATCTTTTTACTTGTCGGTTGGTATTACACATGAAAAAGTTGTGGACAGATTATTTTGCTTTTGTGATTTTGCTTGAACAGAAGGGAAAATTCTAGTCCAAGACCTTGTTCGGTTGGGAAGTGAGACGGAAGATGACAATCCAGGCGAGGGGAAAACGGCTTAGAAGGCGTACTCCAATTTGGATACCAACATTGGTTGACCTGTCCGTTCAAGCTGGCGATCCTATCTATAATGCGGCTAAGTTCAGAACTTCCAACAGCGCGTGAGATAGTTGAAATATACTGAAAGTACATTCCGTCTCGGCAATGGAATTAGAGATGAGAGAAGAACATCTGCCTTTCAGGGTTCACAACATCATTGACCGGGGCTTTCTGAAGATGTTCCTCGCGCTGTTCATTCCTGAACATAATAATATCGTCCTGATGTCACTTTTGGACCGAATCTTACTCCTCCAATTCATATAGGCAAAGGCTCAAAGGCTAAAGAACCCTCAAATCATAAAAGGGATGTTTCACTACTTGCGAATTCAATTATTCTGCTTGTAGAAGTTTTGATTGTAAATGTTTTTGCGCCAAATATTCACGAAAGGTAGAGGGACCTGTAGTGTTTAAAGGTGCTCGGAGTGATCACTTGTAGCAGGTCACTAGGCTTAATTGTAACGGTTAATACCATGAAAAACCCAAAACTGGTACATTTATGATAATTTTACCCTAACCTATTTTTTGACCACAAAAAACCTTAAATTGGTACACATGTGACAAATTTATTCCGAATTATTTTTTTGACCACTAAAAACCTCAAACTGGTACACTTGTGACAATTTTATCCGGAACTATTTTTTTAACCACCAAAAACTCAACACTGGTACATCTATGGCAATTTTACCTCCGAACTAATTTTTTGATCACTAAAAATCTCAAACTTGTACATTTGTGACAAATTTACCTTCCGTTAGTATCCGTTAAATTAGATTAATATCACGAAAAATTACAAATTGATAAACTTGTGACAAACAGATGGGTAAAACCCAAAATCGGTGCACCTGTTAATTATCACGTGTCATTAAACTTAGCAATTTGACGGTAAAATTTAACGAAAACTAATGAAAGGTAAATTTGTCATAAGTGTACCAGTTTGGGATTTTTTATAGTCAAAAAATTAGTTCGGGGGTAAAAGTGTCACAGGTGTATCAGTGTGGGGTTTTTGGTGGTCAAAAAAATAGTTCGAGGTAAAATTATCACAGGTGTACCAGTTGGGGTTTTTTGTGGTAAAAAAATAGTTTTGGATAAATTTATCACATGTGTACCAGTTTAGGGTTTTTGTGGTATTAACCCTAATTGCAATTGATCTAATTTACTACTTCAGCCTAGATATTTCTGCAAACATAGAAAAAGACCATATTGATTGAAGGTTTTCCTTTTTTGGATAATGAAACCATTTTTCTGTAAACTAATTTGTCTCAATAATATAAACAATTTCATTTTATTTGGAAATATTGTCCAAATTATTCATATTCGATGAAACAAATGAATCCTAAAGCATAAAAATTAATTTGTTTTTTGAAACTTATTTACCAAGTGATTTGGAAACGTCGAGTTTTTAAACAAGCCAATCACCATGCGAATTAACTTCTCATGTTTAAACATTAAATCCGATCCCATCGAATTGCTTAGTAAATAAATCGTAGTAAAGAATTCTTAGCAATGTCGAAGGAAGAAAGACATGAGGTGCGCTTGTTTGAGTGAAAGAATTTTTCACGAATTAGTTTTCTAGAGTTTCACGTGATCAGTAGAAAATATGCGTGCTTATAGTTAGGAAAATGAGTTCCTCAACCTAAAAGGAAAAAAAATTTCTTAAAAAATGATTTCTCGGAAATTATTTTCCTTTATCACGAATTTTTTCCCAAAAAAAAAAGTGTGTTTTTTATACGAAAAACCTTCTTACCTGAGAAGATGATTTCAGTGAAAATTGTTGATGGTTCGATCTTACTTTCAAAATTTGTTTTCTCCATGATAATTATACTTTGATTCATTATATAAGGCTCCCGTTATTTCCATTCTCTTATTGGCTCTGACGCCCCTTATCACCTACCACATTTATTTTTCTCACATCCTATCTCAATGGCATTGACAAAGAGCTTCTTAAGTGTTTTGTGATGGATTGCATTTCTAAGACTAATATATTCAAAATACCTTTGTTGGATATTATTAGAGTTTCCAACTTTAATACTTCTTTTCTACTCATGTTTTGCCTTTTTTAGAAAGGCAGAAGAGGAAGATTATGTTTGAGCTTTAACGATCTTTAGCAACATATAGGGTGTTGCTTATCAACCTTCAGCTATCATCGCTGATAGAGAATTGGCATCGATGAATGTAGTTCGATTCATTTTTCCTAAAGTGCAAACTTGTTGTGTGTTTGGAACATTGAGAAGAATATCGTGGTAAAATGTAATTCTCGGTTTGAAGAAGGAATGGATTGTGATTCTTTTATATATGATTGGTCTAAGGTTATGAACTTCAAGAGTGAAGTGGAAATAGTGAAAATATTTGGCAATTTGAAGATCGTTGTGAGGAAAAGCCATTCTTAATTGTGTTACAAATGCATGGCTCCTTTCAAAGAGCTTTTTGTCTCTATTTGGACAAGTCTGCACATGCATTTTGGAAATCGCGTTACTTCAAGATCTGAGGGGCACATTCAACTTTGAAAGTATATCTACACGTTTCAATGGGGAATTTAGTCAAGGTGAAAAATAAAATATGCATTGCTATTGAGAATCGATTTCAAGAAATCAAAATCAAATTGTCAAGTAAAAAGGTAAGAGTTCCTTATCATCTTCGTATTCATCTTTTGAGGAACTTGATTGCTCGGGTGTCAATATGTGCTTTAGATAAGCTCTACAAGCAATATGAGGTTGCTAAAAGTAGAGTTGAGCTACTTGTTTTTACAGGGCTTTTTATGCAATCCATGGGCCTTCCATGTGCGCATGAAATAAAATATAGGTTTTCTGAGGGTTTACTCCATATATAATTAATTAGCAATAGAGACTTGATAGAAGGTCCTTTCTAGATCGTGATATGATACGAAATAATGAAGAAGATTCATTTCCGCAACTACTTCATGAGTTGGGAATGAGGTATCAATGGCCACTTTCCAAAAAGAAAGTTGTTCGAAAGTAAATTGAGCAATTTGTACGAGTAAGTGATCCTTTCTTATTTGAGCCCCTAGTTACCTTTCATAAAGGTCGTCCTTCCAATTCAAAAACTAAAGTGGAAGTAACTTTTACATGATGTGATCCTTTTGCATTTGAGATTGCTGTAAAGGGGAATAACTATGGTACTTGTAAGGTTTATGGCCATAATAGTAGGACATGTAAATCAAAAGGCAAAGATATCGAATCAAACTCACATTCAAAGACCATTGGAATTCGTGGTGGTGTAATATGGTAAGCACAAAGGACTCCAGCATGCAACAATTCCTTGAAAGATGCATTCTAAGATTGGAGCTTCTCACACCACGGCATTGAAAATTATTCCTTGATATATATATTTTAAGTAAAAGTTTTATCGTCTAATTCAGATAAAATATTAATTTCAAGAGAGTAACCTTTTCGAGGGAGCCAAGCAGCAGTACAGACAATACTGTATATGCAACTCGTTATTCTTGTAGTACATATGTACTTTGAGGATAATTTTCTTTTCATTGATGGTTCTGTAAAAATTCTAATGCATTCAGAATTGACAAAAAATATGCGTTTGCAAATGGTTTGAGTGGGTTGTCTTAAAATGCGGCAAAAGGACACTATAAGTGCCATAACTTGTGTACGGCGCTCACTTTGGTGCCATAACTTTTTTTCGGATCACTTTGGTGCCAAGTCGGAGGAAAACGATCACTTAAGTGTTATAACTTTTTTTGGATCACACTGCTAAAATTTTTAAAAACGATCACTTAAGTGCTAAAATTTTTGAAAAACGATCATTTAAGTGCTAAAATTTTTGAAAACGATCACTTAAGTGCCAATCTCCAGCGAGACTCCGGCGAGCCACGTCGCTTCAGAAATTAATAAAAAAATGCCACGTCGGATTTCCGGCGAAAAATTGTGTACGGCACGGAGTTGGTACTTAAGTGATCGTTTTTAAAAAATTTTAGCACTTAAGTAATCGTTTTTCAAAAATTTTAGCACTAAAGTGATCCAAAAAAGTTATGGCACTAAAGTGAGGCCGCATACAAGTTATGGCAGACTTTGTAGTGTTCTTTTACCCTTAAAATGCAATTACAATTGCCATAATTTCTTGTCAATAGTACATGCAATCAAGGCAAAGATAACATTCTATGTAATAACGTTTAGGTAGCATTTTCTTTTGCATTTGCATGAGAAAAAATAATTATATTGAATATTTTATGTGCTAACTTTGTCATAATCTTAACTTTTTTTGAATCTTTTAAAACATCGTGCAAAGATGGCATGAAAAATAAATAAAAAATGGACTACTAGATTCACCAAATAAAATGAAAGTTGAGCAGTAAAAATACACTGATTACAACATAAGGACACATATTAAAGTTAAGGTTAATGACACAAGCAACTCCAAACTGATACACCTATGACAAATTTACTCTAAACTAATTTTTTTACCACGAAAAATTCCAAACTGGTATACCTGTGATAAATTTACCTCGAACTAATTTTTTTATCATCCCAAAATGGTACACTTGTGATAATTTTACCCTGAATTAATTTTTTGACCATAAAAAATTCCGAACTGGTACACATGTGATAAATTTGCTATATGTTAGTTTCCGTTAAATTTTATTGTCAAATTGCTGAGTTTGATGACACGTGGTAGTTGACAAGTGTACCGGTTTGGGGTTTTACCCCTCTATTTGTTACAAGTTTACGAATTTGTGGTTCTTCATGATATTAATCCAATTTAACGGAGGGTAAATTTATCACAAGTGTATCAATTTGGGGTATTTGGTGGTCAAAAAATTAGTTCGGGGTAAATTTATTAGAGGTGTACCGATTTGGGGTTTTTGATGGTCAAAAAATTAGTTCGGGATAAAATTATCACAGGTGTACCAGTTTAGGGTTTTTTGTGGTAAAAAAATTAGTTTTAAGTAAATTTGTTATAGGTGTACTAGTTTAGGATTTTTTGTGGTAAAAAAATTAGTTCGGGGTAAAATTATCATAGGTGTACCGATTTGGGGTTTTTCGTGATATTAACCCTTAAAGTTATAATCAAACGAAATGTGTACAAAAACTGGTAGGTGGTTCTTTTCACTGTTGCTTTTGCTTAGATTATTTTTTGATTTATAGTTTCCTAGTACAAAAAAGAGAAATATCAACTTATTAACATAATAATTCGTTAGCTATCTACCAAATAAGGTATTCTTTTTGGAAAAGAGGAACACCAATTTTGTTCCAAATGAAAAAAGTAAAGGAAAAAAATAAAAAAAAAGATTAAAAGAAAGCAAGAAATAATATTAAATCAAAAGTGGGCTCCACAATTTAAGCTTGACAAATGTTGTTTGAGAGGATCATGAGTAATTTCATCTTTAGTAAAATTGAAACAAAAGAAAAAGAGGAAAAAAAAAATGAAAGAATTAATCTTAAATTGAGAGTGATATCCCCAAGAGATATGTAGTAAAACAAATGTGAAATGGGGTGTCGGGAGCCAATAAGAGATTGGAAATAGCGTCGGTCTTATATAAAATGCCAGATAATAGTTTGTTTGACATATTACTGATATATGAAACATAAATTTTAATTTTTTTATTATCAAAACAAAGCAACTTAATAAAAGAATGCCAAAAAAATAGAAAATGGAAATAATTAACAAATTTAATCTCTTAGCGCTTGTAAAACTTCATGCAAGAACGGTTCTCTACTCTCCGTGCAAGCTTACATGTGCAGAGGGATCTTGGCAATACGATTTCTTCATTTCAGGATGGAAAAACCATTTTCATCGATTTTTACTACCGTTGTTCTCCTCGAGATCTAAGATCATTTCCCTCGGTTATCCATATCTAGCGAACAAAAAACACTCGAAAGTTCGGAAAATCGTCTCCTCCCGAGAATCGTCTTCGCGAGACCAAAACCCAACATAGGCTCCGTTTATTTCGCAGAAAATGAATGATCCGGAAAACATTTTCCGAAAAAAAATGATCGCCTATATAGCTCGAAATAATTAGCCAACGAATAATAACTTTCATCATCGGCGATGACGATTTATGTCTAAACAATTTCAAAGACGGTGCAGACATTTTCCGTTCATTCATTTTTGCAAGTGATTCAAGCGATCAATCTTTGAAAAATATTTTCCGAACGATGCATTTTTTTGCGAAATATACGCATCCATATGAGTTTGATATCGAAGAGGGAGTAATTCGAGGGATTAAACGACGTAGCACCCTTCCCTTTCATCCGCGGGTCTCAACACCAACTGGCGTCTGCTGGTTTGGTCCTTCTCGATCCTCATTACGGCTCATTTTGGACAAAGATATCGAATCAAACTCACATTCAAAGACCATTGATTTTCATGGTGGTGAAATATAGTGAGCACAAAGGACTCCAGCATGCAACAATTCAACTTGAAAGATGCATTCTATGATTGGAGCTTCGCACACTACGGCGTTGAAAATTATTCCTCGATATATATATTTATTTTAAGTAAAAATTTTAGTGTCTAATTCGGGTCAAATATTAATTTCAAGAGAGTAACCTTTTCGAGGGAGCCAAGCAGCTGTACAGACAATACTGCATATGCAACTCGTTATTCTTGTAGTACATATGTACTTTGAGGATAATTTTCTTTTCATCGATGGTTCCATGAAAATTCTGATGCATTTTGAATTGACAAAAAATATGCGTTTGCAGATGGTTTGAATGTGTCGTCTTAAAATGCAATTACAATTGCCATAATTTCTTGTCAATAGTACATGCAATCAAGGCAAAGATAGCATTCTATGTAATAACGTTTAGGTAGCATTTTCTTTTGCATTTGCATGATAAAAATAATTATATTGAATATTTTATGTGCTAACTTTGTCATAATTTTGACTTTTTTGGAATCTTTGAAAACATCGTGCAAAGATGGCATGAAAAATAAATAAAAAATGGACTACTAGATTCACCAAATAAAATGAAAGTTGAGCAGTAAAAATACACTGATTACAACGTAAGGGCACATATTAAAGTTATAATCAAACGAAATGTGTACAAAAACTGATAGATGGTTCTTTTCACTATTGCTTATGCTTAGATTATTTTTTGATTTATAGTTTCCTAGTACAAAAAAGAGAAATATCAACTTATTAACATAATAATTAGTTAGCTATCTACCAAATAAGGTATTCTTTTTGGAAAAGAGGAACACCAATTTTGTTCCAATTGAAAAAAGTTAAGGAAAAAAAATCAAAAAGAGATTAAAAGAAAGCAAGAAATAATATTAAATCAAAAGTGGGCTCCACAATTTAACCTTGACAAATGTTGTTTGAGAGGATCATGGGTAATTTCGTCTTTAGTAAAATTGAAACAAAATAAAAATAGGAAAAAAATGAAAGAAATAATCTTAAATCGGGAGTGATATCCCAAGAGATAATGCGGTAAAACAAATGTGATATGAGGTGTTGCGAGAACGGTTCTCTACGCTCCGTGCAAGCTTACGTGTGCAGACGGATCTTGGCAATACAATTTCTTCATTTCAGGATGGAGAAACCATTTTCATCGGTTTTTACTGTCGTTCTTCTCCTCGAGATCTAAGGTCATTTCCGTCAGTTATCCATATCTAGTGAACAAAAAACACACGAAAGTCCGGAAATTTGTCTCCTCCCGAGAATCGTCTTCACAAGGCCAAAACCCAACATAGGCCCCGTTTGTTTCGCAAAAAATGAATAACCCGAAAAATATTTTCCGAAAAAAAAATGATTATCCGTATCGCTCGAAATAATCAGCCAACGGATAATAATTTTCATCATCGACGACGACGATTTATATCTAAACAATTTCAGGGGCGGTGTAGACGTTTTCCGTTCGTTCATTTTTGCAAGTGATTCAACGGATCATTCTTCGAAAAATATTTTCCGAATGATTACACTTTTCGCGAAATAAACGCATCACCCATATGAGTTTGATATCGAAGAGGGAGTAACTCAGGGGATCTAAACGACGTCGCGGTGCCCCCTCCCCTTTAATCCGCGGGTCTCGACACCAACCAGCGTCCGCTGGTTTTGGTCCTTCTCGATCCTCCTCGTTACAGCTCATCTCGGACCGACGGCGGCGGTCGGTATCCGTTCCGTTCCCCACCCTCCCCCCCTCCCTCCCCTATTGGGTCCCCCCGGCTGAGCTGGCGCCCTCCTATTGGCCCCCGGGAAACGTTGACCCGAGGACACGCCCCCCCGAGTCAACGAAGCGCGGGGGGGGGGGGGGGGGGGGCAAAGGAAGGCGAGCGCACGCGAGCGGCGCCGCACCGTAGCGCGCCCCTCAGTTCGAAAATCCCGAAAGGCGCTTCTCTCTCTCTCTCTCTCTCTCTCTCTCTCTGCTCTCGCCTTTCTTCATCTCCTCCTCCTTCCTCCTCTCCTTCCTCGTCTTCTTCGAACTCGAGCTGTCGCTCTCTCTCTCTCGCGCACGAAAAAGTTTCTAAATTTACGCCACCGCCGCCCGAATCGTTCCCCACCCACTTCCCCCCTCCGCCTCCCCCGGCGCGTCCCCTCCGGCCCGCTTTCCCGGCCGCCGGTCGTCGTCGTCGTCGTCGTCGTCCGCCGCCGGGCTGAAGGGCGGCCCCTCTCGCGCGAGCTCGCGGGTGGCTCGGCGTCTCCCCCAATTGCCGCTCCGCGGCCCCAATTTCGGTCCGTCTCGCTCAATTTCGCCTCCCGTGGTGCGAGCGCTCGTGGGTGGGGGTTGTCTAGGGTTTCGGATGGAGCGATTGGAGGGAGGGCGGGCGGCTTGAAGTTAGGGTTTTTTTGTCGCGTGGGTGCCCGGTGGGATGAGCTGAATCGTGCGTTGCGGGTTGCTTGGGAGGATGGCTCGCGAGCTGAGTTGGAGATAGGTCTTGGTGCGCGGTGCTGAGAATCTGGAGAATCGCTGTGGAAGAGGGGGATTTTTCTTTTCCTCCTCCTTCTTCTTCTTCTTCTTCTTCTTCTTCTTCTTTTCGCTCCGTAGGTGTATATGAATCGTAGGGGTGGGTGAGTGAGTGGTGAGGAGGAAAGGATGTTCTATTCACAGTTCATATTGGCCAAGAAAGGTCCGCTCGGGACGATTTGGATTGCTGCCCATTTGGAGAGGAAGCTCCGCAAGAACCAGGTCGCCGACACCGACATCGGCGTCTCTGTAGGTCAGTGGCTCTATAATTCTCGCGGCTTTTCGGCTCTTGTGTTTTGCTTCGTTCGTATCTTCCCGGGCAAGATGAATTACCCGAGTTCTCGCATCTAATGTTTGCATGAAACCCCTGCTGTCGCATGACTGAACCAGGAAGGGCTATTTAATTGCACTAGTAATTGCCAGCAATGCGATGAAACTGTGGCCAATTTTTCTATTAGCTACAGTAATAGTTGAGGTTTGCCCATCTTTATGTAACTTGTTTTACAACAATTTACTCGCACTTTATATTCGAATCTGACGATTGTGGTCTACAAGGAAAATTGAAATACATTTCTGATGGCTTTGATCTACTGTATTCTAGGATACCTAGGATAGTATTGGTTGAGCTCTTGTATCCAAGATATGCTTTGTTTTTTCAAGATCACTAAAACAGGCTGGGTTCCTGAGTTGTTTGGACCAATTTCCTTCTTTTGGGAGCTAATCGCATCATAAAATGAGCAGATGTTACAATGAATTCTGTTTTATGATGTTATCCGATCTTTCTGATTTTACAATCTTAAATCGTGATCTTACTGTGATTTTGAATTTTGGAGACGATTGATATCATTCAGTCTGTTTAGAAACATAAGGTCGTACAATATCACAATTAAAAATAGCAATTTTTAACGAGAATGGGGAGACTGCATGACTAGAAGTGTTGGGAGCTGTACAAGCTTATAGAAGCGTATTTAGGAAGCTGTTCCTTGGCAAATTTTATGTGCCGCACTTTGAATGCCGTGACCAGAGGCAAGCTGCTTTTTGTACTGGTGAAGATCACTAGTAAAATCTACTCAGAACAAATTGTCTTCTGGAAAAAGAAAGAAATCTATGCTATTTTTTACTCAAGATCATCCCTCGTGGCCCAGTTAAGTTGCTAATCAATAAGTGTATGGTATTAACAAATCATGCATGTATACATCCTGTTTCTCTACCTTATAATAACATCATTTGCTATCTTTTCTATGATATATTATTCCTAGATACTGTCCGGTTCCAAAGAATGGAGTGATGGTCTCAGTGGAAATCAGATGCAGAGTTAGCCCCAATAATGAGTAGCAAAACAATGATTTTTTGATATTCTTTAGCTGCATATAACTTTTTGACATTGTTCATATCTCTCTCGGAGTCTATCACGAAGACTTTTCATGTGAGGGGAAAAATTTCTATTAATGACTAGGAGAAATGCAGTCACGGATGGCACAAAATAGAGTACACAATGCTCATCAGATTATCTCCAAAAGACTGGTCAACTTTTTGTTGTTATATATAGCCTTTAAGCCTCGGGACAATGATCAAATTTTTGCATCGGATTATCGCCCTCTTGGTGCTATTGTGAATTCCTTTGTATGCCTGAAAACTATTTGCTTAAATTGCATAACTCCACATTCTGTTTTCTTTGAACAGATTCAATTCTTTTCCCTGAAGTGCCCATTGCCCTCCGGCTTTCTAGCCATCTCTTGCTTGGAGTGGTGAGAATATATTCTAGGAAGGTTGGTTACCTTTTTGATGACTGCAGTGAAGCTCTGCTAAAGGTAAAGCAGGCTTTCCGATCCACTGCTGTTGATTTGCCTCCAGAAGAATCTACTGCTCCATATCACTCTATCACATTGCCAGAGACTTTTGACCTTGATGACTTTGAGCTGCCAGACAATGAAATTTTGCAGGGGTTGGTACTCAAACTTATAGCTCGATGCCGTATGTATTGACATCTTGTTATTGATTTTTTCCCTAGTTTGTCAGAAAAATGTTTCATTTTAATACTGAGTGGTAGGCCTATGGTGGTGACAACTATAAGTCTGATGAAGCTCTGGGCAGAAATTTTTTTCTCTAGAATCTTATCCTATCAAATTTTTAGGCAAATCTTTTGACTTTGCCACTCTAAGTCAAAGTTCTGTGTCCACTGTGTGTGCTAAGAATGCAGTGCTTTGTGCTGCATGTAATACTCTTTCTTCAAACTTTTGATTTAGATTCTCTGACCGTAAGCCAATGCTTTCTTTGTCTGAACTGAATTATGAGGCGACTGGTATGGAGACAGTTGTTGTGACTTTCTTCTCTCAATGTTCGTTTTCTTCCAATGAGCTTTCGAACAAGAAAACCTTTGGGTCCCTCCTTCCTTTTACATGCATGTGCTTGTGGGGGTGTATTTCTTGGTCCCCCGACTAGCTGTGGATCATAGGCACGCACACAAATATGTTTGGCTGACTCATGTCTAAGCTTGTTCTATGAACAACCAATTCAACCATCCCCCTCCCCCTTCCTGCTCCCCTCCACCCCCCGCGAGTCTTCTTTCCTCTTCTTTTTTCTTCTCCCTGCTTGGCCATTGGGCAAACAATGACTACTATCTTCTGATTGCCTCGGATTTAACTGCGTTGTGAAAAATTCAATTTTCTACTCTTTTGCAGAAACTATGTTGACCATCATGTTAGTGCTAGGGAGCAAATTACTCTCCAAGACACAATGGAGGGTGTGGTTTACCCCACATCTCAGTTTGGCCTGGATGGTTAGCATCATTTTCATCTGCTGCATATTTGAACTTATGAATTATTTTGCTCATCTGAATACTGAATTTGTTGCGTTATGTATTATGGTTGCAGAGCGCTTTGGCGATGGTGATACTTGTCAAATCTCTTTCGATCTTGATCAGGTAATTTCCTTGTATGTTGTGCTACTGAATTTAGGTTGGATTGCGGATTGGAAGTTTAATAGATAAGCCATATCTTTTTGTACTTGATTTCATAAGATTTGTGATTACTTGAAGTTATTGATAGAAATTGTGCCAAGGAAGCCAGATCCAGTAGCTGTGCCAAGTAAACTAGATCTGAATGTTTGCTATGTCTGCTTAAGTCGGTTTTCCTCGCTGATGATAAAAAATTATATTTATTCTTCTCAAGTGGGATAATAGTTCTTGGTGTTATTTGTTGGACTTACTTTGGCATATTCTGCGCACAAAACATCCTTACTTAGGATTGATTGTTTGTTGCTGTAGATCCATAAGAAACTGTGCGGAATGGTATAATCTTTGAAAAGTTTCTGCTATTGATGGTATAGAAACACATATATGGCTTGCAATCGTAATTTCTGTCAAAGAAAATGATATCTGACATGTGCATAGATCTTGAGGTCATACCTGATGCAGTTCCATAAGAACTGAGCCTTTCTGACTTTGTTTTTGGCTTGTGCTATCATGTTTACCACAAACAGGATTCTTTGGTAGAGAAGGTTGCAGCTCCAGTGTTTGATGGAGATACTGAGTAAGTTCTATTTCTACTTGCTCTGCTTTTCTCCTAAATTCAAATTTATACATGTACCCGTTGTACATTGCTGAAAATGTATTTGTACATGTGCTTCTGTTTTGTATTTGCTGAGGCTGTGCTAATTCCCTCCCTCTCTCTCTCTCTCTCTCTCTCTCTCTCTCTCTCTCTCTCTCTCTCTCTCTCTCTCTCTCTGTGAATTGAATCAAAGCATCAAGTGGTAAGATTATTCAAAAGTTGGAGATCTTTGGCGATGTTAGCATGAATTCTTAGCCAACTCTGTTGCAGTAAGTTTCGCCAGTTATCATCTTATTGAATGTAAATAAGCAATTGATCAAGTTATTAATCAGAAATCAAAGTCAAAAGTATGATATATGTACTTCTTCTTGATATAGTCTTTTTTGAACTTCTTGAGGTCCTGTTAAATTAACCTTTAAGTATGACAAATGTATGCACCAGTTGAGTTGGTACATCTTGTGTAGGCCAGTGTTTTCTGGCTGTTACGATTTTACAATTGCGAGAGAGAGAGAGAGAGAGAGAGAGAGAGAGAGAGAGAGAGAGAGAGAGAGAGAGAGAGGAAAACAGGAAAACACAAGGCTACATTGTTATCATGTAATAAGAGCCCAATTGGTGGGTCTATCTATAGACCATACAGAGGCAGTACAAAGACACTAACACTTTTCATCCTAAACTTATATCTTTATAGCTTTAATCCTTTGACCTAAGACGCACACTTAACCTATGGTTTGCATGACTTGACTCACAGCTCACCTGACTTAAACAACCTATAACACTTTCTCTACAAGGCTACATTGTTATCATGTAATAAGAGCCCAATTGGTGGGTCTATCTATAGACCATACAGAGGCAGTACAAAGACACTAACACTTTTCATCCTAAACTTATATCTTTATAGCTTTAATCCTTTGACCTAAGACGCACACTTAACCTATGGTTTGCATGACTTGACTCACAGCTCACCTGACTTAAACAACCTATAACACTTTCTCTTCCACCACTTAACTTGCACTCATTCTTAATACTCCCTGCTAAACTGCAGCATTCATTGAACCTACCTTCATTGGCAAAGACTGTAGGCATTGGCAATTCAGTACCTGCTTTTGCGCTGTCATTTTCTGTCAATTCATCGACTTTTCCATTTATAATTCTGAGGTGGAAAATATCCGGTTTTGCTTTGATGATAGGATTCTTGCAAGTAGCAGTGCTGATGGATGGATAAAAATATCATTCGCACTTACTAATAAAAAAAAAAGTAGCGTTCTTCCCTTGGAATGTGCTGTTATTAGGGGAGTTTGACTCTGCAGGGTCATAAGTACCTTTTTTCTCCTTTCACTTGTCCAAAACCTATCTGGAGTTTGCTGTAGCCCAGCTTGATCATCATGTTAACTTTGCTAGTGTTGGCTCAAAAGTGGATGATTTACTCAACAATGATAGGTTGTTTTTGGTTGTGATTATATTACTTGACAAAGATGTGTTTTTATTATTTCTTTTATCCTGTTGAATGCTGATGTTGGCCTCTTCAACATTGCTCAGTCTCATTGAAATCTCATCTGTGGTAGGCTATTCAATGAATTTAGTGATATATGCCTAACTTATTACAGAGTTCATCCTCTTGGACACACCGAGTCTATGGTGCCCTTTGAAGGAGACGACGATGATGATGGAATCCTGAAAGAACAGTTGGAAAATTGCATTGGACATCAGGTTATCTTTCATTTGGCTCAACTACCTGGCATGTCAATTAAATGACACACACTGTTTCTTTCTCAAGTATATTCATGTAATAACTGCTACATTCTTATAAGCAGGGAGAAGCTCAAGATACCAATTCTGAATTCATCGGGTATGCTGAGGCTCCATCCACTCCTGGATTAGTTGGAGAGGCAAACTTGCATAGCATTAAGGACACTGTTGTCTCTGATGATCATGTAGCAGAATCAATTGCAATTGAAGGTAGGGTTTGTTTATCCGGTGAGACCGAAATTTATCATGTTACAAACACAGATGATTATTCACTGTGTGTTTTTTTTTAATGCAATACTCTCCTAGGAATGGCTGCTGAGGAGAATGGCCTTCTCGTCAGCGAGATGGAGGTCACACAAGCTAATAGAGAAGGAAATGATGGTCATTCATCTTGTTGACTACCCTTTCAATTTTGTTGAGTCAGTCAGTCTGCTATTATTGGCCTGAAAATGTCTAAATATTGTAATGATGGTTTCAGATAGGGTGGGAGGTGTTGATAATGCGGTTGGAAGCATCAAGGATAGAGGTGGATGCGTCAACAGTCGAGCTGATACTAAATCTTCAGAAGCGGATACAAGACCTGTTGAAGTTGTTGGAACTTCTGCTTTGTCTCCGATACCTCATGAACCAGAGAAAAACGATACCAATGATGATTCTGGAAATATGGAAAAGGCGTGTTCCCTTGAAAAAGCATCGCCTGATGTTGAGCATGACGTTCGTGAGGATATAACGAATCCGAATAGTAAAAACTCAGCTTTGCCTGACATTATTCAGCAAAACCACATGCATGACCGTCAATTTTGTGATTCCAACATGAGTGATCAAGGCATTTCTTATGTCAGAGGCGAAAATGAGTTCCCTGCAGCTGCCATTGTTGAATCAGCATTAGATGCTAACCATATAGCAGAACCTTCTCTGTGTCAAAAGATACAAGATCATGGGGATTTAGATGGGCAACTTAAGGATGTAGCTCTGAATGATCAATCAGAAATTATGAATTCAGCGGCTCCAGCCTTGCCTTCTCCAGAGAAGTTGCTCTCTGTGAGAGATGAGGTTATTGATGAAGCAAATAAGTTTCTAGAAGAGTCAACACCAGATAAGGAGTCTCCTGAATCTGGACTTGGAGCTGGCGTTGGACACTTATCGGGAAGAAAACGCAGTCTTACTGAAAGTACAGTGACTATGCAGATTAACTCGGAATCATTTGGGTTGGATTTTTCTAAGAGAACGGTTGAGTCCATTCCTGATGATGACGATCTATTGTCCTCCATATTAGGTATTGAAGTGATTTTGCCTGAATGTTTTATTCTCTATTATGATGAGTCAAAACCGTCCCTTCTCTTATTTACCAAAGTTGGAATCATTTTAGACTTTACTTTTTTATAATGTTCTACAACTGAAAAGCTATGTTGTTTTGTAGTGGGAAGAAGATCCTCAGTTCTGAAAATGAAACCTAGTCCAGCAGCAACTGAGGTCACCTTATCTAAACGTCAGAAGACTGCTCAGCGAGCTAGTGCTTACAAAAGGAAGGTTCTGCTAGATGATACCATGGTTTTACATGGCGAGTATGTCACAGTTTAATGTTGTATAATCTTTAATCCATTCTATGAAGTAAGATAGTTCTATAGCCTGTAACATCATTGCCTTAGTAGATTTCTTTTTGCTCTGTAGTGCAATCCGGCAACAGTTGATCAACACAGAAGACTTGCGTCGTGTTCGGAGAAAAGCGCCTTGCACCCTTCCTGAGATATCAGTGATTCAAAGAAATTTTGTGGGAGATGAGATATTTAATGAACCTATACATACTGGTGAGTTCGTTACGTGTTATAAGAGGTTTCTGAGCATGTTCTTTCTCTATTGGCTCTAGTTGTGGTTCGTGCACTGCTAAATACTTTAAGTAATGCCCCTAGTGTCGCTCGCAGTGCCATTCTCATGTGCTTTGTTTTTCCTGCTATGCTACTGTCTGTCTCTTCTGTTTGGCTTTTTGTGTCACACCCTTCCTTTGCTAGTCTTTTACTAGTTATTTTTTGTTCCGAGCACTGCTGTTCAGTCCTACTTTCTATCACATTCCCCTTTGATTGGGTAGCCTTGTTATGGTGCCACAGACTCTTTTATTGAGAAACGGCACTGGTCAATATGATTACATGTTGACGGCCAAGCACTTTCCCTCAAATGGTAATAAAGAAAATATGTAATCTGTGTGCATGCACTAATACAGACAGATGAGTTATGTCAGTGGGTAGATGCTATTGATCATTACACATTGGTCTTGCTTGAGGAGAGTTGTGTAAGTGTCATAGAAATGAAAGTTTGGACTTGTCTTTCAGGTGTGTCAACGGATCTATTTTATATGCATAAAGAAGCCTATGATTTGAGCAGAACCAAAATCTCCGAACATGATGAGGGTACCACTCATCCTATAGCTGCAAGTGGAATAGATTCTTTTGACAAGCCTGACTTAGACACTGAAATGGGTGGTGCTGTGGAACCTTTGATCATTAGAGATGAGCCAGAGAAGCAAGTCTTTGAGACTTTACGACATACGGAGAACCAGCAGGGTGAAGGTATTGGTGATTATCCAAGTGTTGATTCTGAAGTGTCGAAATCTCAACATGAACATTCGGTGAAGATGACTGAAATGGAAGTAGAGGGAGAGAGAATTGCAGATGGTGATGCAGCAAATCACCTTATTGTTTCTGAGGTTAATTCACAAGACTTAACAAGTTCATTTCCCGAAAACCCAGTTAATGCTTCTGTTGATTCTGTTAAGAAGTCAGATTTCATGGATAAAGGGGTTGACATTCATGAATCTCTTCATGTGGATGCTTTGTGTCCTTCACCTAACATATTGAATGCTGAGGAGGATTCTCCTAAAGGTGATGGATTGATTGGAAACGGAGTTGACGCTATTAAAATAGATGAAATTGAATCTCATACAATAGAGGAAGGTTTTACGGAAGATCAGAAGTGTGGTGCCACATTTGATACAGGAATTGATACTGAATATTGTTCAACTGGGAATGATGCTGATGTGGAATTGGTGACTGCGGTGGCAGTAGCTGGTGATTTTGATGAGCCGGTTTTGAGAAATTGCAGCACATCGGCTGATGAAATTAGTAAATTTTCAAATGATAAAGTTCAAGATGGGCAGGTGGAGTGCAATATTGAAGAGGCGTCTATTTGGAGTTCCAGCGAGCCAAAAGCTGATTTTATTCACTCGCTGGCTGATAATGGGCATGCTTCCTTGATTAATGAGGAAAATACAGGCACCTGCGATGCGCAGAGCAGAAAGGATGCAGAATTTACTGTACTCGACGGCACTGTCATTGATGACCAATTTGTAAGTTGCTTCTGATTTTCATCTAACTTCATAAACCACATTTTTACCTTTTCTCTGTGAAACCTCTCTTTGTCCCTTTCCCCTTCTAGTGTAGTTTTTCCTGGTCCTTAAATAGATGCTACACTCTGAATAATTTTTACCCAGCTAATAAAACGGCAATCGATGTTTCTATACATGATATGTGGCAGTGTAAGAATCCCGCCATTTTTATTTCTTCGTATAAAAACCATGTGGTGTTATTTGTAGAAGTTACATTGTGAACTCGTCTAGGAAGGCCGTCATCTTCTTGGCAGGAGTATGTATTATGAGACTTGAATGAAAACCAAGGGACTGCTAGATTTTGGTGGTCTACTATATTAATTGATTGGTTCCAAAGCTTAGTACTGTCAACGACTATTAAGATATGCTAGTGCTAATATTTTGATTTTAGTTGTTAGGAATCTTTTTGAAAAAACCGATGGGTTAGTACTTCTGTGGAATGTGAAAGGACCAATGGTTGATAGGTTAAAAGGACACTTGTCATCCACAACAAGGATGGCACGCACGCAGAGGGTGAACTTTTGGATTGGTTTAAAGTACAATATCTGCTCATATTGTTATTTGTGGTAAAAGCTGTACGCAAAAAGTCCATAAACATCAGTTAATGAAAGCTTGCATGAGTATATTCTCTGGCTAGCATGCTGCCGGGTCTTATACTGGATGATATGGTAAAGTGATGATCAGTGATTGCTTGTAGATGTCTGTTCTAGGTTTAAAATCTTCTCCTGTTTAAGTGGTTCTTTTCTTCAGGCACTGATGTGCTAAAATCAGAAGAAGGATGTAGCTCTTATTATACTCTCTCTTGATCTTGTAGGCTGGACTTATTTTTTAATATAATTTCTTTAAAGCATGAATGATGTATTTTTGGCTAACTGTTGCAGGATTTTGAAGGTATGACTGCCGCTCCTCATGATACAGGTTATTTCTCTGTTCTGTGCACTACTTTTACTATGTTGTGAAATAAGTAAAGTTGTGGAATAATCATCTGCAATTATTCTTTATTCCTTCTTGTTTTGGCCCTCTAGAGTTGACATGTTAATACAGAGGTCTAACTTAACCTTATTCCGTCTTTTTTCAGATTTTTTGAATGTGGATGATGACGATGAACTAGCAGAAGATGAGAAGATGATTGATCCAGAAGAGTCGCAGCTTCTCGAAAACAGTGGATGGTCTTCCCGCACAAGGTCTTTTTCTCATTAAAAATGATTATCAGGATATGTTTCACGCATAATGAGGAATTTATATTCAATTCAAATAAATCTTGTGATTGCCTATTATTTTCCTCAACGGATTATGGATAGGTGATACCAATATTTATAACTTTCAAGTAAATCTTACTTTGAATATGTGACAAAGGGTTAAAGAAAATGAATAAATAGTCTCTCTTGATAAACCTTTATAAGCCCCTGGGAATATTCTGACATTATCTCTAGGTTAATTAGGTGCATGAGCAATCTGTCCTATTCTTGCTTTCCCAAGATTCCTCTGAAAAGCTGAGTTTCATGCTTTGAATGCATTCTCTGCTCTTCGGGAAGTTCCCGGATCTGTTTCTTTCTGGTGTCTCTGTTTCGAGATACAAAAAATAAAGAATTATATGTTTTGAGTTCTGTGTGCATTCTCTCTCAGCTCACATGATCTTATTGAACACTCAGTGAGAAACTAGAGTGAAAATCGTGGGCCAAAATTTGTTTAAACGAATGTCAAATCAATTGACCGGAATGCATCTCATCTTTAGAGGTTTTCTGTCAATCTCATTTATCCGAAGTTAATCCATGTCGGCTGTATTGAGCTAATTTATGCCTGAATTATCATGGATTATTTATTTTTGCGAGGAACACTGTATCGCCCTCCTGATACTTGGGACTTTTTTCTGTCATATACCTATGGATTTCTCTCGTGCATTTTCTAAGCCCTCATAATTTTTACATTCTCCTATAGTGTGGATCCAGTTGTGTTGGCATGGTTAATTTTTATGTTATCTTTCACTCGTTGCTGGCATTTCTCATTTATAGTCTACAAAAATTATATCGGTCCATTTATCTTGTCGTGCTGAACTATCATCCTCTCTACCCTATTGTTTTTCTGCTTCTTGTACATATGTTCGTCTATTATAAGCCTGGTCTATCGCCTTCAGAATTGGCTGGTCCCTCTTTTATTTACTACAATTAGGACAAGCTTTTGAAATGTCATGTTGCCTCTTTTTAAATTATCATTATAACCCTTGACTCATCACCTCCCCTGATCATCCTCGCTGCATGAGTGAGTTTTAGTTACTGGTGATCTCTCTCTCTCTCTCTCTCTCTCTCTCTCTCATGCGGGCATGTACGCACAAATTTTTGTGATGTTGGAGTACATTTTATATGGGTCATCTGGCTGTCTGCTCTCTTAAAAAGTGATTTTTAGAGTATCACGAGTTTAACTGTGTTTCTCTCTTTTACAATTCATGCTGCTGTTTGATGTCATATGCTATATGATCTCCTTAAGATAATTTGTTTTCTCTCTCTTGTGCTCACAGGGCTGTTGCGAATTACTTTCAAACTTTATTTTGTCAAGAAGTGGCACATGTTAAAAGGGGTCTTGTGATGGAAAATTTGTTGGCTCGTAAGACTCGTAAAGAAGCATCGAGGTTGTTTTTCGAATCACTGGTAAGCTGAAAAACTTCGTTCTGAGTGTATCTTCTTCCTCTGGCGTCTCATGTTTCTTTGAAGGCATAATTCATAGGTTACACGCTCCACCTTCCTAGATCACACAAGATGAGTGCCTCGCGATTGAAAAAAAAACTTCGTTCCAAGCGTATCTTTTTCCTCTGGCATCTGGTGTTTCTTTTATGGCATTATTCCTAGGTTACATGACTGCTTCACAATTGCGAATGTCGCAAAGGATATAGTAGTATTCCAATGACTACTTTACGACTGAGAATGTTGGATGTGGTATATTTCCTGCTCCCCTGTTTAATGTGTGGAAAAAAAAAACGTGTTTGCAGGTTCTTAAAACGAGGGATTACATCCATGTGGAGCAGGAAACGCCGTTCGATTTCATTAATATCCGGCCTGGGGTCAAGTTGATGAAATCTGACTTTTGATCTCCCTGATATATGAAAGGCGTGTGTACTTATCAAGACGTGTCCATATCCAGGTGGTGCGTAGCATGCATTGTTAGGCTTCTCTTTCCCCCTCCCACCCTTTGGGAATCTGTCGTTTTTTTAACTTTAATATAATCACTCTTTGGTTAACCTTAATATTGTTAGATAACTGGGTGGTGTAGACATGTAGCTAGTGTTGTAATCCTGTAATAATTTGTATATATATGTAAAATAGTTCAGTCTGCCATTGCAGTAGAAAGTTGGGAAGTTACCTCTTGTTTGTTTGATCTAGTCCACATTATATATGCCTGGGTGTCCTGAGCTGACTCTTGTTTCAATCTATTAACTACTGATTTGCTATCATTTTGATCCTTCCTGCCTTATCGCAAGGGGACGCTCGCGTGCTCATTATAGAATGTGAACTCAGCATTCCTTGTTTCGATGTCGGATACTGAAAGTGGGCAAAAATGGCGTAAATAATTCTTTTTTGCGACAATTGATTGCATGCGAACTGAGTAGTGGCGATTATGATGAAATTTGAGCATACTCTGTGACAGAGTTGATTACTGAGGTTGTTAGTTTATGGCTTAAAAAAGAGCTGGTAAGGACAACACCCATTCGCGTACGATTTTCTTGAAACCGTGTGCTTTGGATAAACCGCAAAATCTCCCTTCGAGATTATACTGCCCCTAAACTTTAATTCGTTACCAATAACCATCACCTCTCCTATGGATTTCTGTCTATTTCTTCATCGAGTCATTTTCTATAAAAAAAAAAAAAAAAATTTGACCCAACTGAATAGTCGAATAGTTGTCGGACTGAACTTTAAGTGTATTATGAACAATAGTTTGACGACTTTTACTACATCTCTATTAGAAGACAAATGCAATAATATAAAGGAGGGATTGTATTATAACCAATCTTTCTTTTCCGTGTGATCTGAGTATGCGCTCACAGATGCAAAAGTATAACTGGGATGCTATAAAAAATACAGTCAGTAGAGATTTTGTACCATAGGCATGATGACCTTTAATCATAATGATGCAACACCCCCGCAACAAGGGAAACAGGCCGCAAGGGATGCAGTCCCGGTATTTGAAGGCCAAAGCACTGCTGCAAACAATGTCGCCTTTATGCACGTCGGCTAGCTGATGACCAATGTAATGCGGCGAATCTCTTTCTACTTACCAATTTATTATTGCTTTAGAATGATATATAGCAAAAGGAGAAAGTATAGAATCGACTACTCGTCCTTCCCGCTCTTTCCATCCTCGCCTTTCAAAAACCGCAGGAACCAATAAGCGGACGACTTTGGGTGCCGAGATAGCCCATTTTTGTAGTCCACGTAAATCAACCCGAAGCGTTTCGTATAACCTTGAGCCCACTCGAAGTTGTCCAAAAGTGACCAAGCAAAATGTCCTCTCACATCCGCCCCATCTCTGTCAGGTACACATCCAATAAAAGTTTTATGTTCCAGCTATCCAGATGAACAAAATGGTGATAAAGACAGAGCAAGAAACACAAATTATTATGCATGTCACAGTTCCAAGGACAAATTTTGCTTATTTTTGCCAGGAACAAAGCTGGGATGCGACCACATAGATTTGATAAATGTCTTGCATAGTAAGTGGGGGAAATGACTGACTGCATACCAAGTCGATACCGTTGTCTAGTTCACAGAATTCACATATCTAATGTCTAATTACTTATCAATAACTGGACATTTATGTGCCCGATAAATCACTATGAACAGTTATCAGTTCTCTCTCCCAGGCTTTCCTCTTTTCCTGGTTCGTCAAGACATCTACATGTGACCCCATTGCATCTATTGCTAACCAATATGGCCTCACAACTTTCTAGCTATATGCATGTGCAACACTAAAAAGCAAAGTGACTTACTTGACTGCCTGAGCAACTTCAGCCAGGTATCTCTTAAAATAAGTAGTTCGCAGTTTATCATCTAGCATCTCATGGAGAGGTGAAAGGTCATTGTCTTCATCATCCATTCCTGAAATGACAACCCGAGATGCAAAGAAACTTCTGAAATTAAAGCATTGAACGTGAAACAATATTTGATGCTCAAAACTTTTCTAGGATTATCGACAACTAAGATTTTGATATCTCAATGACATCTGTTTTTTGCGATTAAAGAGATAAAAGTAATAGCCATTCAGAATTCCTGAACCTCTTTTAGAATGCAAATATGTCCAGTTGACAGAAACACGTCTATCCTCTTATACATAGTCTAAAAGGATACTAAGCCAGAAGAAAAATCAATTGCATCTGAATTATACTCCTCAAATAATTAAAAAAATGCTACAAAGGCCAACCAAAAACTAAAAAAGACCATGATAAATCCAGTAAACAAGCACTGAAGGATAACGCACTTTAACACCCTCTTCCACATCCAAACTGGACTCAAACCGAATACATGTAAAACTGAGTAATAGGGAACCGAGCACTCCATAATTTAAAATGGGGCATGATGAATTAGAAGTTGACTCTCATACAAGGTTAGAAAGTCCAAATGCAATACTTAAATTGTAAGATTGAAGGAAGGAGACTACATGCATGTAAGACCATGATAAATCCCGTTAATAAGCAATATGGGATAACACATTTTCAGAAAAAGGAACATAAATTAACAAATAAGTAAGAGGAGCTCCAATCTTTTAGCAATACCATTCTCGGTAACATAAATTTGGGGATTATTGTATCTCTGCGCTATGTAATTGAGAACCTTTCGAATGCCCCATGGAACAACATAAAGCCATTCTGATGCTGCCTGCCACATGTAGAAACTTTTAATACAATATAAACAAATGACCGTGTCTCCATGCACATACAGGGAATTGTATCGATTGCATTATCACATGTAAGATAAGGGAGATATTCTAGATCAAGTTGTTCGAGCTTGATCTTTAGACCTTTGACTATCACATCAAGGCTAGATATACAGAATACTAAGCATACCTAGTTGGAAACCTCTTTGAAGCCATTCCATTTGGTGCAGTGAATTACGATATCGACAGTTCGTTCGATTGGTTAGTAAAAGTTTTCAAATAAACCCAAACCAATCAATTTGGAAAAGTTGCAATGTAAAACCAGACTAAGCAAAAGGAATCGGACCTTAACATGAAAGTATCAGTATGCATTTGGCTTTCACTCATATGAAAGCAGGAAAAGTGGAGCTATACCAGCTCAGGTAAGTATGACTTTAGTTCAAAAGGTAAATGATTTTGCAAGCGAGTTACTATTAGTAATAGTTATTTTAAAAATCACGTAAATCTAGTTTGGTAACTAAATAGTAATTCTAAAAAATTACTTAAACCTAGTTTGGTTATTCTGTTTGGTTTCATTTTGGGAAGAAGTTCAAATTAAGACCAAATCAACTTGACTGAATTCACTTCCCTAAACCAAACAAACAATATTTCAAACTTGGAGTTTAATTTAAATGGGACAGTTGGGTTTTGGGCTTCGGTTGTGGGTTTCATGGGCTCTAGATTCATCCACTTAAGCTGGGAGTTCCATGTCATCGAATAAATGGACAAGCATGTAATTTTCTGAGACTTGCTGGACGACAACTTGATAACTTGAAAGGTCAATTTTTAATCAAAATATCATTCATATCCATGGAATATCAAATTTTCGTAAACAAATTGAATAAAGGTGCAAGTATTGCACAAGCTTTAGCTCCACACAGGGCATTGTAAAACTTTACAAGCTGAGCCGCTTACTTGTAACTTTTCAACTGATTTATCAAGCTAGCTAACAAAATAAAATGAGATTTATGAAACTGTCTCAAGTTATAATTTGCAACTAAAATCTTCCTTTGCCACTAGTGAAGGTTAATTTCTTTTCCTAAGGCAAACTCTCAATTAAAAAGAACCAAATTGTACCATCAAGGTCCTTACACACAAAAAATTAATAAAGACAGGGTCAAAGATGGGTCTATTAATCCTAATCCTAACAAACAGAAAGATGCTATCCACCAAACCCAAAGAATTTGAGCATGTTTAGACATGCATTTATCATACCAATCACAGTGGATTTCCAGTTTTTCACATGTATTCAGGTTCCTGCCCCCCACCCCAAGATATCAACAAGATCATCATTTAGCGAAGTGGAACCACCCAATATTTTTCTGGCAACTAATGGCGCTGCACCTCTGACTTCTCTCCCTAGGTTACCTTTCACCTATGTGTCAGCTTTACATCTTCTCAGTTCATAGGAATGCTTGTCGTGAAAAGCAATTTAAGAGAGCTTCCTCACAAAAAAATTGAATTCTTCTTTTTATTTATTTTGATAAAAAAGAGTCCAGATCACACATACACCATAACTTCATTCTGATAGCTCTGACAAAAGGAAATGACCACTACCTCCCTAACACCCATCCGATGCTCAGAATTTTCAATTTTTGGCAGTTAGTAGTTCCACGCGTGCTTTGGTGAATCAATCGAGCACACACCTAAGAGCCAAAGCAACCCCAAACATGTTTGGAAGCAACTCAGCCCGCCAAGTTTGAGCATGACTTATCTTCTCAGCCAACATGAACATATACACATGAGAGAGAGAGAGAGAGAGAGAGAGAGAGAGAGAGAGAGAGAGAGAGAGAGGGAGACCTTTTCACCAATAGTTTCCCCTCCTTCGCATTTTTCTGTGAAATTAAGAGATTAAAATGGAGTATGTATCGGAAATCTTAACACCACTCAAAAGAAAAAAAATACTAAGCTAATCTGTACATTACCAAATCTCTCCATCTGTTGAGCTTTGTAGAAATCACCTTCTTCAGGGCTTTCATTTGCATGAGCTATAAACCTGGTTGTATAGTGATTTAGACCAACAAAGTCCACCGAGTTTCTAAGCAACTCGATGTCTTCCTCTGAAAATTCAGGAAGCCGATCTCCAAGTTTTTCACGCATGACTTTAGGATAGTCTCCACAATATATAGGATCAAGGTACCTGTGCAAGAACTTTTTCTTATGCTAAACTGAGGATAAGAGCTCTAAAGTGATTACGGAAGAAGAACAAGATAATCATTCAGCACTAGAGTGAAAGAGAAGGGGAGTGTCCAGGCTACCTCATTGTCTGTCGCTTATAATCAATTTTGACCCTCTGGGCTTAAATTAATTAGTCCCCCCATTTTATAAAAGGATTGGATAATGTTTAGATACTAAACCACATTTCCATTGATCAATTCATGTTTTAAGATAGGTTGGTGACGGTTTCATGTGGCCCATATGCAAATGCATTACATATTATCTCAATATGCTTAGTGGTATATA